AGCCAACTTTAGGTACACTAAATAATGTGGGGAACAAAGAAAGCACAGGTTAGCTTCCTATGTGATTGTCACCCAACATAGAATAAAACTTCACTCATATCACCTAAACAGAGGAGAGTCCAAGTGTGTCAGGTCAACGTTTTTTGAATTTCAATTTTTATTGTAGTAATAACACTTAACATGAGCTCTGCCCTCTTAACAGAATTTTTAAGTGTATACTATATTCAACTATAAAAACAATGTTGCACCGCAGAGTTCTAGACTAATTTTCATGTTGCATAACTGAAACTTTATTTCCTGTAGCAACTCTGCCTTTTCTGTACACTTCATCACCTGGCAACCACCATTTTGCTGCTGCTTCTATGAGCCTGTTTTAGATACTTTACATAAGTGGAATCATACAGTATTTGTCCCTCTGTGACTTGCTTATTTCACTTGCCATAATGTCCTCAAGGTTCATTCATATTGTCACATATTGCAGACTTTCCTTCTTTTTAAAGGCTGAATAATATTCCATTGTGTATACACACTATGTTTTTTTAATCCATTCATCTGTCAGTGGACTTTTAGATTATTTCTGTATCTTAGCTATTGTGAATCATGCTGCAGCGAACATGGGGGTACTAATAGCTCTTCAAGATAAAGAATGTCTTAAATAATTTTTAAAAAAATTTAAATTGGCCTATCATCATAATCCAAATGATTTTTTGTATAATATTTACCTCATGCAATCCAATGATTTTAAGACTTCTATTTTTTGGCAGTAAGATACAGTAATTGTTTTAATTCATTATTTCTAAATGGGTTCAATATCACCATTGTTTTAATCGAATGTTTTCACTTGATTTTTGTATATGGAGAGAGATAGGGGTCTAGTTTCATTCTTCTGCATGTGGATATTTAGTTTTCCCAGCACCGTTTACTGAAGGGACTGTCCTTTCCCCAATATGTGTTCTTGACACCATTGTCAAAAATGAGTTCACTGTAAATTTGTGGATTTGTTTCCTGGTTCTCTATATCTGTGTGTCTGTTTTTATGACAGTTGTGTGCTGTTTTGGTTACTATGCCTCTGTTGTATAATTTGGAAAAAAGAAAAACTTCAGCCGAATTAAATTTAAAGGAGTTTAATTGAGCAATGAACGATTTGTGACTCGGACAGCCCCCAGATTCACAGCAGACTCACAGAGACTCCGGGAGTGCCTTGTGGTCAGAACAAATGTAAAGACAAAAAACGTACAGTGACGTACAGGAATTGTAAGTGAGGTACAGCAACAGTGAGACTGGTTACAGCTTGGCATTTGCCTTATTTGAACACAGTTTGAACATTCAGCAGTCTGTGAGGGGTTGAAGTATGGCCACTGGGATTGGCCAACACTCAGTTATTGTTACAGGTATATACTGTTAGGTTTTCAATTTTGTCTGGCTATTAAGCTAGGTTACAGTTCATCCACGAGATCTCAATTATAGAAGTATGAAGTCCTTCTCAGGCCATATTTAGTTTGCTTTAACAATTTGAAGTCAGGTAATGTGATTCTCTCAGTTTTGTTTTTGCTCAGGATATCTTGGGTCTTTTTTGGTTCTATATAAATCTTAGGATTGTTTTTTCTGTATCTATGAAAGGATTTTGATATTTTGATAAGGATTGCATTGAATCTGTAGATTACTTGGGGTGGTATGGACATTTTAATAATATTGATTCATCCAATCCATGAACATGGTCTATCTTACCTTTGTGTGTCCTCTTCCATTTCTTTAATCAATGTTTTATAGCAGGGTTGTTCAATCTTTTGGCTTCCCTGGGCCACAGTGAAAGAATAAGAATTGTCTTGGGCTACACGTAAAATACACTAACATTAACAACAGCTGATAAGCTAAAAAATAAAAAATAAGAAAAGCAAATATCTTCATAATATTTTAAGAAAGTTTACGAACTTGGGCTGCATTCAAAGCTATCGTGGGTTGGGCAAGCTTGTTTTATAGTTTTCATTGTAGAAATCTTTCACTTCTTTGGTTAAGTTAATTCCTAGGTATTTTGTTTTATTTGTTGCTGTTGTAACAAACTGTATTTTCAAAGGTAAAGCAGGTTTTAGCTCAGATATATAAGTGCTATCAATTTTTGGACTGATTTTTTTTTCCCCAAAAGATAAAAGTGTTGCTGTCTTTTTGGCAAAAAGCGCTTGAGAATGCTGTCCTAAATAGAAATATATGTAGAATGAGCTACTGATTGCTGTGGTTATTTTGATATGATATAGTTTAATATTAAAACTGAAATGTTTTTGTGATATACTGTGAATGAGCTCATTGCTGTTAATTCACATTACAACACCTTTAAAATCCAGTTCAGGTAGCCTTCTCAAGGAGTTCCACCCTCATCCCCAAGCCATAAATAATCCTTTCTTCCTTTGAGTTCCAGTAGCACTGTTTATAACTCTTTATAGTTATAAATTGGGCCTTGAAACATAATTATTGTATTTCTTTTCCCTAATATAAGTACATAAGGGCACAAACTGATAAACCTTCAGGTAAACTCAACAGATACGTTATTGAATATCTGCTTTGTCCAAAGCAGTGTGCCTAAAGGTATGCAAACATGAGTATTCCACTGCTCCTGTCTTTGTCATGGTGTTCCTCATAGTGCCTGGTCTCTCTCTTGACACTGTTCTCCTGTATTCTAGGATGCCCTTTTTTTCCCCCTTACATCTCTTGCCACTACTTCACAGTGTATTTTGTCTCTCCCTCTAGTAGATATGTGAATAATGGAGATGCCCAAGGCTTGCTCTTGAACGCTCTTCTCTTTTTAATACACACCCCCTTTAGGTAATCTTGTTTATTCTTATGCACCTAAAATATCATCTTTATGCCAATGACTCTAAATTATCTATCTCTAGTCCAGACACTTTTGAACATCAAGTCTACATATTCTAGTTACCATTGAAGTCTCCTGGGCATCACAGAAATAAATATCTTAAAGAAAATCCTTCCTCTTTTCTTCCACATTTTGTCCTGCTCTCCAGGAAAGCACCTTCATTCACCCAGCTGTCAAGCCAAAATCCTGATGTGATTTTGGTCACATGCTCTCCCCTACCCTCCACGTTGAGTCCATCACCAAGTCCTGTTGATTCTCCCTTTGAAGTATCTTCCTCTTCTGGCTCTTGCCCACATGCCAGCCCACAGTGCTGGCATGATGGACTCTTGCGGCACTTCTGGTCAGTCCCCACAGCGTTGTCACAGTGACTATTTAAAATCATAAAGCAAGTCATGCTTTAATCTCCTTGATTCTCGTTGTTCTTAGAGTAAGATTGAGAAATTCTCAATGTGGCATCTATGTATCAGTCCTTTTCCAGTTCCATCTTTTGCCACCCCCACTCTCTGTAATCCAGCCACGTGGCATTCTTTAAATTCCAGAGGTTGACTGAATACCCCCTCACCCCACTGTCCCTTTAGGGTTTTGCACAAACTCTTCCTGTTGAGGACCCCTTCTACCAAGTGAGTCCCCACTAACCCTCTCAATTGAAACATTGTTTCTTCAGACAGTCTCCACCCAAGCCCTCAGACTAAATGAGGTTCTGTTCTCTTGGCATATCTAAGTATCCTGAACTTAGAGCACCTTTTGTAATTACTAAGATTTCTTTTGTTGGCTGATTATTTGCTCAATATATGGCTGCTCCATTGTCTGTAAGATCCTTGAGGGCAGGGATCATGTCTGTTTTGTTCACACTCAGGCCCGGCACCAGACACATAGTAAAGAGTCAATACCTTTTTGTGGAATGAGTAAAATAAATCAACATAAAAGTTCAAAAGCACACTAAAATATTGCACAACAGAATGTGTTTAAAACTTAAGGCTCTGGCTGGGCACGGTGGCTCACGTCTGTAATCCCAGCACTTTGAGAGGCCGAAGCAGGTGGATCGCTTGAGCCCTGGAGTTCAAGACCAGCCTGGGCAACATGGTCAAACCCCGTCTCTACTAAAAACACAAAAACTAGCCAGGCGTTGTGGCAGGCGCATGTAATCCCAGCTACTCTGGAGGCTGAGGCACGAGAATTGCTTGAACCTGGGAGGCAGAAGTTGCAGTGAGCCGAGATCGCACCACTGCACTCCAGCCTGGGCGACAGAGCGAGACTCTGTCTCAAAAAAACAAACAAACAACAACAACAAAAAAACACTTAAGGCTCTAACTTAATACATGGAAGTAAGTTTCTAGCCCTCGTGTGAAGATCTTTATTAGTTTGTGACTAAACCAGGCATGTGCTGCTTTTGTGATCTGTCAAATTTTAGAATTGTTATTACCAAAGTATGTATTTGACAACAGGAAAAATATATTTTATCAGTTTGACAACAGATATTTATTGATCATCTGCTGTTTGCTTGGCATGGTTGTAGATCTCAGGATACAGCTGGGGGATTGCAGCTTACTTTCCCATGGAGGACAGACAGTGTACATGGAGAATTTCAGCTCCTGAAAAATACTCTGGTCTAAATAAAAGAGTCGTGGCAGGGACAGGGAGCTAGAGAAGTCCTATTTGAAAAGGTAACATTTCAGCTAGCATTGGAGGGACAGGGAGTCAACTGCTGGAGATCTGGGGAGAGCTTTCCAGGCAGAGGGAACTGCCGGGACATCCGAAGAATAGGGAGGTGGGCAGTGACGCTTGTCACAGTGAGAAGGAAAAACACACACTTTTATAGAGATGCCATGACTTGGAGTTCTTATTCTGCCCATTTTGGCTGGAGACAATGATGATGTCCAGCTCATAAGAATGTTGCTAAGCAAGGTAATGAAGGTAAATAGTAGTAATAATACACATCACTGATAGTTTTAAACATTATTCATATGCCTTCCACAGAATTTATGTGAAGGAGAAACTGGTAAAGTAAATGTTACTTTAACTAATGGCTTTGTTTATGTGTTTAATCGTTTACTAATTTATTATCTTTTAAAACAATAGGCTATGTGGCTAATTATTTGCAAACATTAATATTTGTGTTGATTTCTCTTTAAAGGTTAAAAAGCTAAAGAGAGAACTCTCACAGATGAAGCAAGAACTGCTCTATAAAGAACAAGGCTTTGAAACATTGCAGCAGTGAGTATGAAAATACTGAATCAACTTTAGAGTAAGCTTCCTAACTAATATTAAAACAAAGAAAATAGAAGTACAGATTACATAAGAGCTTTTTCAGAGAAACATAAAGTAAAAAGTTCAGAGCTCTACACCAAAAGAAAACCAAGCAATCAACTAACAGATACAAACTTGGGAAAGATCTATACACTTGAAAAGCTCCAAAGTTTTTATTAATCACTGGAGATCCAAAGAAACCAAAGTGAAAAGCCTTTGTCTTACCTTGATCTCCTGGACCCTTGCTGGCCTCCTCTAAGATTGTGGTACCGAGCTAAGAGACTAGGCACAAGAAATTCCTCTCCACATTCGGCTGGGCTGGCTCTACTTGACCCCTATGTGAGCCTGCAGCTGCCCTGGGCCCTCGGGTGGAGGCCTGTCTGTCTCTCTCTGTCAGCCCCAGGGATGACCTGGAGTCTAACCCTGACAGATGGCAGGGGAGTAAGAGCAAGTCAGGATTATCAGCAAAGGACCGGGAGTGCGTGCCTCACTTCCTGCCTTCCTCTACCTTTCCCGTTTGCTACTGAAGTCAGCTGGGCCATTAGCAGAGCCCTAAGCTGGGCCAGGTTAAGTGGAAATGGAGGTGACAGAGGGTCACAGGATCAGGATATCCCTTCCCCATTCCTGGCCCCTGAAAGCCACTGTTCTCCCTGCTGCTGAGGCCCAGCCTGTCCAAACCGTGACAGGCACACCTGAGACTTTCCAATCCTGCAGACTCTACTCCACAGGGTCTCTCATGGGAGAGAAACAGTCCGTGGTTTTCACAGCCACATGACCACATAGCGGAGGTTCAACTTCCCTCCTGCTTGGTGTCTCCAAGTGTGGTGCAGTATTTCTAGGGATGTCCCTGGTCAGTTTCCTGTTCAGGCAGGTTTCATGTTCTTCCCAGCATCTCCCTTGGTAGCACGTCAGGAATGCCAAGCTGGTCTCAGGTGCTGCCTCTTTGGAAAGTACCCAGCTGTGTTCCTTTTGCCTGTGGAATCTTACTTTGCCTTCTGCTCTTCGGAAATTTGGGATGCTCCAAGCAGTGAGGGGTGACCCCCTTTAAAGATCCTGTGTGTCACTGGCCAGACAAACAAACTGGTTGTTCTTGTTTGGGTGACTAGTCATGTCTTGGGATACCTGGGCGCTGCTCTTGACCACCAGTCAGACGTATGACTAATTTCACACGTGCTGTTATCGCTCAGACTCCTTTTTTCCTGCTCACCACATATAATCATGACCCTTATATTCCTTCAGATGCTCCCATCCCAGTGGTTCTCAAACCTGACTGCATATTAGAATAATCTGGAGAGTGCTTAGAAAAATAATGTTTCTAGTCTCTATATCAGGTATATTTTATGAGATCCCAAGTGCTTCTAAAGTCCAGCCATGTTGTAAGAACCTCAGCTGGTTGCAGAGCTCTCCAAAAAACCGAGCAGAACTCGAATGACATAAGTGCGTTATTTAGTAATTGTTTATCAACATAAAGCAGGGCTTTGTGGTGGGGGTGGGGAGAAAAAACAGACTTTGAAGAGTGCCATGAAGTGTTTAGCCGTATGTTCCACATTCTTAAGGCACATGAAATTATAACTCGCATCACCATTTGGGATTAAAGGTTAGCCAAACTTGCTGTCTTTGTTGTATTGATGTAACAATGCTGTATTGTTTCAAAGCAGTTTGCTTGCAAGCAATTTTTATAGGAATCTAAGGCATGTTTAAGAATCTGTCAATAACATTCCACAAGAAAACAATAGACATTTGTTGTAGAAATTCAGACATTCTCCTGCAATGATTCTAATCCCTTGAACCAAGAGTGGAAAGATATGGTATCTAACATCAGAGACCCCTCCTGTGTACCTTTACTATAGACCAAATGAAGCTGTTTTTATTCCAGCGTTAACCACCATACCACTAAAATGCTGAATGAGCAACAATCAAACCCAGCAGCCGGACTTTTTAAGAAACCACATTCTTGATACTATAAAGGGATTTATATTTGTGGCTATGACAGAAAATATATTTCAGGAAAAGATTTCAATAGAATCTTATTGTAGGCTTTTGTAGCTTTTATTTACAATAGAATGGAATATATTTGTTGAATCTGGAATTATAATGTAATTTAAACTTGAGCTTTCATTTTACTTGGTACAATAGTTTTATGCTGGATAGACAAATATGGCATTATTCTCTACGTTATTCATTTCAGTTTGTGGTCCCAGATTTGACTTTGGCGTAAGCAGCGGTGTAGTATATGTGTCAGTGGCTACCAGGAAGATGCCTGTTTCCATTTTGCATTCAGAATTGGAAAATAGACTAGTGATGAAACAGCAAGTCACAGGCATATACAGATTCTGTGAAAATTTGGTTCTCAGGGTATACACTTTCCAGAGAAGGAATGCAAATGAACATCTTTTCTCTTTCAGAAGAGACTAATATATTGAGTGAAAATGAGTTATAGGGCACACTCAAGTCAAGAACTTCCAAAAGAAATTTTAAGAAAAAAAAATGGCACTTCTCATATTAAGAACAAAAAGCATGATACTTTAAGTCAGCAAATGATGCTTCTATTTCGGTTAATTTTATGGCAAGTTAGTGTCAAAAGAGAAAAAGTGGGAAAAGAAAAGTAGAGGAGAAAAACAAGAAACAGTGAAATAAAGGAAAAAGGCAGCACGTAAAGTAGAGAAGTTCAAAGGAGGCAAAAGGAAATGAGCAAAAAGCGTTCCACGATGAAAGCTGAGCCGTGTTCTTCATATTTAGCATTCTGTTGAGCAGTGGACAGCCAAGAGATTTTCATGTGGTCAAAGCTCTATGAAATTTAAATTAGCGGTCTTGAACCAGTCCTGCTTTTATTTTTTAAATGTTAAGGTTTATTTCTGAAAACAGCTTACCTGCTTTTATTTTCACATGATAAAGTTTATATTTATTTCTGAATCAAAGATTTGTTTTATCATTAAATTCTGAAGACTTTACGCTAACAGGAAGAAATTGAGTTTTAGAAGTTCACTTTGACGCAAGTTCAGATACCCCTATTACTACCTATTTTATGAAATCCCACATTTTAGTTTTTATTTTTAGTTAAGAAGTGCTACATTTGAAAATGCCAAAATGCTATATTTGGAAATATCATTTGTTTTAATAAGCGATTTCCTCAGCTAAGTTGGTGGATATAATACTTAAGAGAGTCAGAAATTCCATTGATAAATCTCTTCCCAAATGAATGGAATTAGCTGATATTCAAAGTACTTCACTAGTCCCATCAGATATTCTAAATGTGTTAGTCATAAGGGCCCCAGTTCTGAATCTGTCATTTTAGGATAGTTCCCCTACTAGCTAAGTGTCTGTGCAATTTGGAGTATAAATTTGCATCAACTTTCTCCCTTGGCTTCTTCATTTGGAAGAAGTGTCTAGGGGATCTTTAGGGGCCCTTCCCATTCTGAACATTGTGTGTCTGTGTGTGTGTGTGCGTGCGCATGTGCACGCACACGTGCATGTGTTTAATCTGTGATTTGATTGGTTGTACTTTATTATTAGATGATCTTATGATCAAGTTTATTTTATTTTCTTAGGTTCTTAAGTCTTTAATTGCTTGTTGAGCAGCATAAGGTAGTGACTAAAACAGTACTTGGGGAAATACGTTATCTACAAACTGCACTTGTTTGAGTGGACTTTGTTTGGAAGAGTGATTAAGATGACATTGCTTTATCTTTTTCGGATTATACCTTTCATATTGCAAATAAGTATTAATTATTAAATGTTTTAAACCAAATGAGCTCAGAGTCTGTTTTCTCTGATTCAGTAGGTGTTGTTTCTCTGGAGACTCTGGATAAGACCAAAACTATGTCTAAGAACGTGTATAGAGTTGTTGGCTAGGGCAGAGGCATAGCCATATGTCCCACAAGGTGAACTCGTGCTGAATTCATAGTGAATCCCAGACAGCACAGGTCGCTGGGGAAGACCAGGAGAGTGATCATGAAGAGTACATGAAACTATTTTTTAAAAAAGAATTAGGTAATTTTATTAGGCCCTTCAAACACAAAGAATTAGGTTACATGAAATCCTCCAGCCTAAAGTGACGATGTAAACTGTAAGGACACTTGGTAAGCAGCTCTGCAGGAATAATAAATTAGCTCATTGAAGAGCTGTTTATTCAATATGAGTTGAGAAATGGCTACTGCCCTTCTGCCGTTTTCCTAAGTTTGAACTCATCCAGCAAGTCAAGCAATTTTATCTTGACTCATAACTTTCATAAAAGCAGAATAAATACTATATATTTTATATATATATAGAGAGAGAGAGAAATAAGAAACTAACCACACAATCCAAACATTATAGGATACTCACTAATATACATAATAATTTGTGTATTAACCATTTATTAAAGGCCTCACAAGCTGCAGGCCCTGTGCCAGGTTTTGCACAGACATTACAGCAAAACATTATGTAAAAGTAGGTGGCAGGTTACTTGCCTCTGTGTTCTTCTGCTAAAGCATTTGCCCATGTCTTTTACCTTTCTTGGGTGAAGATCAGAATCAGCACTTGATAAGATTTGGGTTCGGCCAGCAGTGGGATCATTCAAACAGGTTGAAGGCAAAAAGACATGCATTTATTTGAACCTGAAAGTGATTAGAAATGGACTGGGTTTGAAGTGAGGGATGGGAGAAATCTTAGCCGCCTGTGATTAAAAGAGAAAGGAGGGGCCGAGGCGTGCGGATCACAAGATCAGGAGTTCAAGCCTGGCCAACACGGTGAAACCCCATCATTGTCAAAAATACAAAAATTAGCCGGGCATCATGGCAGGTGCCTATAATCTAGCTACTTGGGAGGCTGAGGCAGGAGAATTACTTGAACCCAGGAGGCGTAGGTTGCAGTGAGCCAAGATCGCACACTTGCACTCCTGCCTGGGCGACAGAACAAGACTTCATCTCAAAAAAAAAAAAAAAAAAAAAGAGAAATGAGGAGTAACCGCCTGAAAAGATGATTGCTGGTATATGAGAGTCAGAAGTGAAATAATCATCCAACTTAGACAATTCCGAAACCAATTCCTACTGTCTGTTTAACTTATATGCGATCATTCTTTGATACTTTTTCTTTCTTTTTCTCTTTTCACAGAATTGATAAAAAAATGTCTGGAGGCCAGAGCGGGTATGAACTTAGTGAAGCCAAAGCCATTCTAACAGAACTAAAATCTATCAGAAAAGCCATTAGCTCAGGAGAAAAAGAAAAACAAGATCTGATGCAGGTACATTGTAAAACATTTTGTTAAGCCAAACTTCTACCTTCTGAGGCCCCCAGAAACTCTTACTGGGGCAGAAGTGCTCCCTGAGAGTCTGGGTGACCCCTTCCACCCCAGCCGCATTTGTGCAGAATGGGCCCTGCGGAGATGGTTGCAGGCACAAAGGTAGCCTGCTGCCTTGGAGCAGAGCAGAGTGATTCCAAGTGACTGTACACTTTGTTGTAAACAGCCTTTGGATGGCCTTTGAGATAGTGGGTGGCGGGGCCTGGAGCTCATGTAAGGAGATTAACATCTTGGTGCACCCTGAAACTCACTGAAAACTTCCTGTGGGACCCCAATAAGCAGAATTCTCAGCCCAGGATACACAAGGGATATGTCATTTGCCATCAGTAAGTAGAAGGCTTGCCTTTTGGGGATGAGACTATGTGAGGAGCTTAGAAAAGTTTTCCGACCCAGTTGATTCTGGGGTGCCAGCTGAGAGGTGGGGAGTGCTGACCCAGCTGGGGGATGCCTATACAGTTACCCTCGGAAAGCTGCGCATGGCCGTAGATCCCCTGACTAAACCCGTTCACTTCTCAGCCTGTGGGTCTTCACTCCCAGTGATCCAGCAGCATGTGTAGAAAAAACAAAATAGCCATTAAGTGATCAGTATTCTGAATATCTATACTTATCAAATACAAGGGTGTCTCTCTTCCTCTCCTTCCGTCCATCCCGTAATTATCACAAACACTAAGAATTCTTATTTCATATATTTGGAGTTCTTACTTAGCTGAGGAATAATTCAGTCCGCATCTTTGTGAAAATGTTAGAGTCACTGATGATGTTTACATTCTCAATAGAACATCTACATTTAAATACCATAGTTAACTACTTGATGTTGGTTTTCAAAATATGAGTTGAATATAGATAAATATTCTTGGATCCATATAATTTTGCATTACTTGCAAGAAGAAATCTAATAGAAAAGACAACAATAATAACAGCAAATACTTATAAATACTGACTTTGTGCCAGGCATTCTTCTAACTGCCTTGCATATAAGTAATTCCCTTGATCCTCACAACAGCCACTAAAGGTAGGCACTATTATTATTCTCAGCTTACAGACGAGGAAGTTACAGCACAGAAAAATTAAAGTTTCTTTAAAGTCATACAGCTGGTAAGTAGCAAGACTGTGGTTTAAGCCCAGGCAGGCTGGGTTAATGTGGTTTTACCATATGTATAACACGTGCAGGACTTCGCTGGTGTGTATTTTGGTTTTGTTCTGCAATTGTCTTGCTGATTAAGTCAGTAATTCCAGAAATGCATGTCATAGGTCCTTTAAAAAAAAAAAAGTTAATAGAACTGGAGCAAATTTACATTGGAACCTTCTAATTCAACAATTTTAGGTCATCTTTCATTTTTCCTATAAACTTTGGATTCATCTGCAGGCCCGATTAAATTAAAAGATTAGATTCCTTTTTAGTTACTAAAGTACATAGAATAATTAATTAGTAGATGCAGAGATTGACAATAGAGTTAGAAGGGACTTTCGATATCTTCTGTGACTTTCAAACCTCTTTGACCACAGTAAGAAATAGATTTTACATCAAAACCCAGTAACACACAATTGTGTGTACCTATAGATAAACAGGTGTGCATGCGCGTGCACACACACACATATACACTCAAAATGAATTTCACAGAAATATGCGTACTCTTAATGCTGGTGATGTACTCCGATTTTATTTTCTAGTATCTTCTATTTCTTTAAAAAAAAATACTAGTAACAACCTGCTAAATTGATTGAATGTATTGCCATCACAGATAAGTTTGAAGAACACTGACTTTTTTTCACTGTATAGATGGAAAAATAGAAAAGACTTGCACAAGGTCACTAAAAGGTTTTTTTGTTCTTTTCTATATTATTTGATGTGACCATTTATGTTTTATCCTCTCATATATATATACATATAGAGAGAGAGAGAGAGTATTAATATCCCTTTGAAAGAAAATAGAGAAAGGTAAAAAATTCCTGATCTCTGATATTTCTAATTCCTCCTAATCATGAAAATTTTAAATATCAGGATTAAATACAGGTTCTTTTGTTGATAATAATCATTTCTTATCATTTTATTAGTATTACTGTAGGGTTTCCATTTTACTGTTTTAAGTGATTCAGATTAGTCTTTCCTTTTCAATACTTTCACTTGTTCATATCCTCCCTCTAAAGTAAACACAGTATATTAAACCTGAGTGCCCACAGCAGGCACATTTGCTTTTGATTATTCTCTTTACCAAGCCAAACATGTCACCACAGGCAGTGCCATGCAGTAGACACACAGATGGGCTTGTTTGATGCCTGTGCCATTCATTAGCAACTTCTGAGCCTCAGTTTCCTAATCCCTAACGTTGATGTGAGCTAAATAATCTCTTGGGTCCTGTCCAGATGTACAATGGCATAATTGAAGAAGTCTCCAAAGTAGGAAATTCTCTTACTGTATCTAAAATGAGAGATTACATTATAGATACTGTGTTTCCAGAATTTCAGTTGCATAAAGTGAGTGGGTTCCTATTGAAATAGAGGCAACTTCTTAATGAAATTTTTAAAAATAAGACATGCATGTATTTTAAAGATACCATTCATAGGAAAATGCTATCTTGGGAAAGATAAGACAACTGGTTTAATACGATCTCGCTTCTGAAGTCACGTATGTAGGTGCAAAATTATATCCTACTATTATTTTTTCAATTATATAAAGTGCTAAGTACCTACTAAATAAAGTAGTTTTTTTTTTCCATTGAGATTATCTCTTTCCTTTTAATTTCACCTGGTAGGGAAGGTTTGCTCTCTTAATTTATGAAAAACTTTGTGTTTTCTGAACAGAGTCTTGCTAAGCTGCAGGAGCGGTTTCATTTGGATCAGAACATTGGCAGATCTGAGCCAGATTTGAGATCTAGTCCTGTGAGCTCTCATTTATCTCTCTCCAGACAGACCCTTGATGCCGGGTCACAAACAAGCATTTCCGGAGATGTAAGTTATCTGTATTGAAGAGTTGGCCCAGTGTTGTCCTTGATGGGCCTTACTTGCAATATGGATGGTGAACTGGAACCAGAAGTATATGTGACTTGGATTCTGGCTGTGTGCATTCAGTGTTTCATTCTCATAAGATTAGTTTTAAAAATCATAGCCTCGTCTTTTCTATCTAGGTGCCAAGCGTGTCAGGATTTCTCCATATGAATAGCTTTGTTCAAACTTTCTCATGCTATATTCCTTTAAAGACACATTGAAAGGCTAGAGGCATGTGAGAATTTAACTTTTTCCTATTACGTTTAGAGTCTTGGAAATTTAGGTTCTTTCAAATAAACATTACGCCAATGAGAAACAGAAAAACATGCCTTTTAAGACTAATAAGAAAACTTGTTTTTGTAAATCTTAATTGATTATATTAAAATGTTTAATCTGTGATTTATATCTGCCATTTAAATATTTAATGTGGCTTGGCTATTGTTAACTATTTTACCTTCTCCATTTTGGGATGCCATTAGCAAGTATTTACTTCTCAATACATTCCTATTTATTTTCATATTCTTTTATGCTGCTCTGAAATATGTGCTGTGAAAGTAAAACAGAAATCAACAGTAGGGCTTACCTATTTGAAAATTAATTTTTGAACTTAGTTTATATTTTGTACAGTTGAAAGCTAAATGCTAGAAATTAGGCTCATAAAGGCAAAGAAATTAGTTCCAGTTCATAAATTTTATTGACCTGTACACCCTTCATAAACTCTAAGATACCAGACACATTTACCTTGGTATTTACAATATCAGGATATTTTTTATCTTGAATTTAACATGTAGAGAAAATAATGTTAGAGTCTTTGAAAAACAGATCAGCTTGAATTGAAAGAAATGTTTTGCCCCTACTGAGACAATAAAATAAGTGTCTTTTTAAATTGGTGTTTCCCAATTTCAGTACCATCTTCTTTAACTTTTCAATTACACATACTTCCTAGAAACAAAAGCAATTTACTTCATTCATTAGCAGAGTTAATTGACTTTTTTCCTTTTTTCCACTAGATTGGAGTGAGAAGTAGATCAAATTTAGCTGAAAAGGTCAGGCTAAGCCTACAGTATGAAGAAGCCAAAAGAAGGTAATGACAGAGAAGCTGTTTTGTGCATGGCTCAAACATTTCCTTTTCCAGAATTAATCTTTACTCCTGCGGTGACATCTGCTGGGCACTCCCCATACATTCTTACCAAGGCCACCCTTGGGTTTTTAGCGTGTAAGGGCTGCTTCCTCTCTGGTCTACCTTTTCTTCCCCCGGCTCTCCCCACCACCAAAGGCTAAAGAACAGGGAGAATTAATGAGAAGTGTGGAAATGAAGTTGCCCCCTTCTCTTCTGAGAAAAAAGAAGCTTTGAGTTGGTACAATACTTAACTCTCAATTAAAAGTGAGACGATTGGTTGCTTTGATGGAAATATGATACAGTGGTTCAGGTATAGGACTAAATAGCTGTTGAGGAGTTCTAAGGCGAGTAAGTATGTTTCTTTGATTTGAAGGGAAGTCTTACTGCTAATGTCCTTGAAGGCGCTGAGGTGTCAGTTCCAATGGATTTACTTTAGGGAAAAGGAAGAGAGATTATTTCTCTCTTTTATGTCATACACTTTTCTTTATCCCTGTGCTGTCTTTTTCTTACTTTGTGATTCTGCTGGAGTGAGACATAAGAAACTTCCATCTCAAAAAAAAAACAAAAACAAAAAAAGAGACTTCACCATCCTTATCTAGTAGATAGACTCAAATATTTTTTATAATATAGAACTCATTATTATGAGGGAAAGGATTATACTGATGCATTTGATTTCATTATTTTCCTCATAAGAGCTTTAAAATGCTATTGGGTTATTATTTAGGAGGACATTGGGAAAAACTGCATTGTCATCCTGCAAGAAACAGGAATTTATCATGTTTCTCCCCATGATCATGAAAAGCTCAGCTGAGAACCAGATATTGAAGTATATTCCTTATTATTGGTGATGATTTAAAAGCAATTAGCCGTAGTCCATAGAGGTTATCTGGCTTTAACAAAGTAAAATAAATACACTATTCACCTCTATGTAACCTGTATTCTTAATATTACTTGGTTCCTCATTTCCTGAAAGAAAGCTAAACTTCATTCCACAAATTATTAACCATGTGAACCTGAACAAGTCACTTAGTCAATCTGAACAGCAATTTACTCAGCTAATTTTAATGCCTTTAAATTTTCTCTGGCAGATTCTAAATTTCTTCAGGTTAGGAAAAATGTTTAGGCTTTATTATCCCCTTCTCAGTGCCCAGATTAGTGCCTTCCCTTCAATAAGTATTGAGGATCAACTTCTGGTTTTGTGGCCCAGTGATGTGCCAGCTTTTGGTAGATAGTGCCAGTGGTCCTCTTGTTGTATGTCCACCTGGGCTGGGCTGTGGACAAATCCATCATTTAGGTCTGCTTTTCTGAAAGAGAATGGCCATTACTCAGAAGCAGTCTTGGAGAAGTGGGCCTTATGCCCCTGCATTCTTTCGGGCTTGGCTCTGCTTCCCATGGATCAACTTCAGCTTTCACCCCTCCTTTGACTTCTAAGTTAATTTTATCTGGAGCTCACATCGCATTTCTCTTCCTAGGTGCTTCCAGAAGTCTTCTTCATATTCTGCTCCCCAAATTTGGCACATCCCTTCTAAAATAAAATTTAAGACCTGCCTAATGTCTGATCACACAAATAATAAACAGGCGGCTCTTTTTCCTGTATTCTGTTGTTGTTCTTGGTTCCGTTGGTTAATTCAATCACATCAAAACTTCAGACATTGGTTTTTCCCCACTTGGTTGCATTGCCATGCCATTTAGGGTTTTGTTTTAAAGTTACTAGTGATGCTGATGAGAAGGTGAATCTCAAGCGCTTATGCATATGTTGAAAATGCTTTTTCCTCTTCAATTCTGAATAAGTAAAGAGGCAGGCTGTGTTTCTCTGAAATCTGTTTTCCCCTCCAGCCCTTGTTTTATGTGCTTAATGAAGCTAATAATATCATGCTTATTTAGCATTTTGATGATTAATTTTCTAGTATGTTGAGACAGTTGTTTATGGTTTTGTGGTTAAAGCTGAAGAATAGCTGATGTTACATCTATCATAAGTGCAGACAGTGGGAGAAAAATCAGAAGTACACTGCATACCCAGTGCCAGTAAGATGGCAATTTTATTTTTAATTAGAACAAGAAACTCATCACACAAAGGTATGGATCTACTTCCATCTTTGCTCTTGATTATGTTTTTCATTCACCTTTTCTCTTGCCTTCTACAAATTCTCCCATGAAAATGGGAAAAAATTATTTTTCTATTTTTCATATTCTGGCGTGTACTATAACAATATCCAAAGTAATCATCCAACATTTTTCTGTACAAACATAAATTCCATGTGCAAACATCAGTGGAGTTCATAGTTCACTGAGCTCTTGTCCTTATGGTCAAAAGAACCATGTCCTGATTGTCTTCACAGTGCCACATAGCAAGTTATTTGACTCGGGTGGTTAGGACATTTGTACTGAGTCAGGAGTAATGTTGACTCTACCAAGTGTGATGAAGCTCTCGACATAAGAGAAATCTGGGGTCAGGCAAAATTATGGAACCAGTGAGGTTTGCCTTTGGTGCATTTCCTCCTCCTTCTCCTGTCCCTGTCCGTATCACTTCAGCACCTGTTGTTGCTCCAGTGGTGTCACACCAGCTGCTTGTACTAGTGAAGGTCCACCATATGCTGCCTGCAAATAGCTGTGTACAGAGGAACCACAGGGCTAGCACAATAATGTATAAAGTGTCGGTGCAATGACTGCTCAGTAAATGGCTTGTACACCAGCCGGGGCGCTGATGGGGAGGAGACTCACGTGCAACTTAAGGAGAATGTGAACGGGAGAAGGCCAAGCCCTGCCCCTTCTTTTTGGCGATGGGGGAGCCTTGATGGATCAACCCCTGACTCTCTCTCCCAGGGCTTTGCTCCCTCCGATGGGGGAGCCTTGATGGATCAATCCCTGACTCCCAGAGTCTTGCTCTGTCACCCAGGCAGGAGTGCAATGGCACAGTTATGGCTCACTGCAGCCTCAAACTCCTGGGCTCAAGTGATCTCACCTTAGCCTCCCAAGGAGCTGGGACCACAGGCACACACATCACCACACCTGGCTAATTTTTAAAATTTAAAAAATATTTTTGGTAGAGACAGGGTCTTGCTATGTTGCCCAGGCTGGTCTTGAACTCCTGGCCTCCCATGATCCTCCTGCTTGTTGGATTATGGGCATGAGCCACTGCACCGGCCCAACTGCTTTCATACCAGTTGGCCACACCACTGCTCTCTTTGATGCCCTCTTCTTCCCTGACTTACTAATGCCCTAGTCTCTGTCCAGCCTGGCCTGGGGTTCCCATTTTACTAGCGGACAGCATCTAAACACATTGGAATAAAATGTATAGTGATGGCATCTCAGATATCATTCACCTCAGTTTTTTTAAAGGGAACCCCCCCCACCCCAGTCTTCTTTCCTGTCACCTACACAGGCAGTCACATATCAGGGCTGGCCTCTCTTGTGGCCCCCAGAGCACTCACCTTTTGAAGCCTCTGTGTACTTGGCCTTCACCCTTTTGTCAGATAACTGGGTGTGCTCACTCACATTTTAAAGATGGGGGAAAGAAGTGGGTGACAGCTGAGTGTGGAGTCAGGCCCAGAGACTGGCGTGCAAGGCTGCTGCTCCCACTCCGGCCTCTCACCAGTAGACCACACCCCTTTCTGGTAAGGTCAGGTTAGGAAAATCTGGACAGCGTGTCAAACCCAAGTTTGGCTTAGGCTGTGTTTACCTTTCTCAGGAGTTTTAAGTATGTGCATACCTCTTTTATCTTTTTTTTTCAGTATGGCCAACTTAAAAATTGAACTGTCAAAATTGGACAGTGAGGCCTGGCCTGGGGCACTGGATGTTGAGAAGGAAAAACTGATGCTGATTAATGAAAAAGAAGAACTTTTGAAAGAGCTTCAGTTCGTCACCCCACAGAAACGTACCCAAGATGAACTGGAACGCTTAGAAGCCGAAAGGCAGCGGCTGGAGGAAGAGTTGCTGTCGGTGAGGGGGGCACCAAGCAGAGCTCTCGCCGAGAGGTTTGTTTTCCTTCGGGAAATACGGCAGCTTAACTCTTGTGGGAGTGGCTTAACTGGATACTCTTTTCCCTGGGTTTGGAAATCTCAACTGCATCTGTTCTTAGCGGACTGAGAAACAGCACAAATGGACTTTCTGTAGAGCAGTAAAGTGCGCCATCCTAATGCCCCACAGGATAAGTTCTGTGTTTGTTAGGAACGTGCAAAACCTGTGACAGATGTTGAATAACTAAGGAATGCTTACATGAAACCAGGAATGTACATCATTGATGAAGTCTGATAACAATAGCTATAAACTATTGCACTCTGATAAGAAAAATTATCTAGACTGTTAGAGCCACTGAAGCATCCTATTCTGGGTTTTATTACGCACAAGAATGCAAAAGTTTATTGCTATTCATTTCACAAGGAAAAGACAGCTTCCTCCCTGTGATATCCTAACAGGTCACAACGTACTCACTTGCATTTTGTTTGTCAGCTGCAGCCCTCCTGTGAAGCAGGTGAAACTGTAAAGGAAAATACTGTAGGCAATTGTCCCATCTTTCTGTGGGAAGGTGTGAGTTGATTATTTCATCTTAAAAAATCCAGTTCTGTAAACAGATAAGCTGGAATGTTAAGTGAGGGGACCTCTGTGTGTCGGTTTGACATGAACGCATCTGCCTAGGAGCCTGTGTCCAGGCCTTGATGGCAGAAAGGGTTGGATGCCTGTTGCAGGACAGACCAGAGAGCCCTTGAGAACCACTGCATGTACATCCTTTAGGCCAGCCAGTAAAGAGCAGTGCCTGTTTCAGAGTAATGGGAACGAAATTCACATTGATATAATTTCAAGTGACCTGGAAGTAAGTTTAAAACACCTGGTCATAATCCAGTTGCTTAAAAAAAAAAATTACTGGCTTCCTGCCTTCTAATTCCTTGTCCTCAATAAATGTTTAGGATTGCATGTCTACATAGTATCAAAACATTTGAAAAGCAGGGGGAGGGAGAGAGGAAAAAGTCTCTGATACTCCCAGTTAGGTGTTAGCATGGGGACTCACCCATCCCAAGGTTAACCATTTTAGTGGAGTTGACTTCTGTGGGTTAAAATGTTGATCAAGGTAACACGCAACCTCAGTGTCGTAGCTGTAGGGAACATGAAAACGTATCAAAAGGAAAAGCCTCTGAACTATAATCTTCTACCCTCTTAATAATTCTCATCTTTGCCTCCATTTCCCCTTCTTTTCTTCCCTTCTTGTTCTGGCTTTTCTGTCTTAATTTTGCTGACTGAAGGGTCAGCCTAAGGGAAGTATCAGCCAGGCCAGCAAAGCAAGGCCCCATCTGACAAAGACCAAAAGGAACAAAAGGAGTAAGAAGGCAAGGAGAATTAATTTGGTTTGTTGTTGTTGTTTTTCTGACTTACCCTGATATGTCTAAATTTGTATACCTAAAGTTTCTAGCTACTGATTTTCGGTAGCTATGATGAAACGGGTAGCCTTTATGTGGCCCATTTATAAAAGCAATGATGTTTCATACTACTACATAGCACTTAATAAAATTGTACATAATCATACCTGTCTAATGTGCCACGTCCATCTCAGCTGTTCTACTTTGTAGTAGGTGAATCTAGGAAGGACTTACAAACAGATTTGTTCTGGCAGAGAAAGAGAGCATATTTGTTTGTCTCAATCAGCTTTTATTGAAGTGGTGTCTTGCTTGCCTTTTTTATTAGGAGTAGAGCTTCCAAAAAATGCCTAATGATATAGCGTTAAAAAATAACAGTTTGTTCCTAAGAACCTAAACTTTGACTTTTTCCTAAGTACCATTTGCACACACACAGTAGCTCAAAATTCCAGCAGAAATAGGAGGCTTTTTCCTTTTTTATTTATTTATTTATTAACGAAAAGCCCAAACCTCACCAGAGACAGTAGGCTTGAACTCATTAGGAAGAGGAGCTAGAAGATACTTATACAAAAAATTGTCTATTTAGCGAGATCTCTTTAGTGAGAAACTGGGTTTGTGTCATCTGGGGAGTAAGTGGCTTGGCCCTGTCTCCCATGACTGGATGTTGGCAGGAAGGGAAACATGGAATTTATATATGCAGTATGTTGACTTTCTGAGTTACCTGGAAGAGCCAGGTCGTTTACTATTCCAAATAAGTGGATGCTAGTTTCCTTATCAGAGTCTACGGCCAAAGGCGAATCCTCATACTTACTTTGCCATCGAAGGTTGCAGGACTCAGACATTCTCGCCTGATCAACTTAAAACTTTCTAACTCCTATCCTGGGATGCCCAAAGTGACTCAGTATTTCACGTGTCCAGAAGAGCAGAACCTACCGCCATTGGGAACACCGAATCCTTCTTTCCCAAATAGATACAACCTCATCTGGCTTTGGGTTTTGTTGTTGCTGTTCATGGTTTTGCTTTCTATTCCCCCATGCTCTGGCATTTTTCTTATGGCTTCACCCTTTCGTGTCTTCCTACTGTGTGTGGGCTTCTGCTCTGCTCACTGCTGCTGTTGCACTGACTCCAGGAGTTTAAGAGGGAGGAGAATGCCCTTGCCAGCAGTGTCTCCTCGTGTCAAAGCGGGGTTGGCCAGAGCTGCTTTTAGGAAGTAGGATTTGCTGGGTGAAACTCAGTTTCTTCATAGAACAGATTGTGTGCCACCAACCCCAAATCCTTCCTTTTCTTCTTGGCACCTACATGACTGTCAAAGAAAGCTACCTGCCGTATCCTCCAACATTTTCCTGTTTTCCACTTATATTTGGGGTTCCCCATTATTTCAGGGGTGACCTCTGGCAAGATTCTGAGTCATTTCTGAACGTTGGTCTCTGAAGGAGCTAGATTCACATGAATTTTCAGTCTCTGAGTGATCCTACAGCCCCCGGACCGGCTCTGTTCCTGCCCCTGCAGGGCTGCAGTGTCGCCCACTGGGCCTGATGGCAGCGACCGTGCTCGCCACCTGGTGGTGGGAAAGAGGTGCTCATGGTGGAGGATCGCTAGGCCAAAAGAGAAATTGCTCACAAATGAAAAAAACCATGCAGGGAAGGTGTTTCTATGCATCTTTCATATTCTTTCCGCGCAGTTATTGAAATTCCTTAAACTCTGTGCTTTTCTATAGCTGGTAAGATCTTAACATTGCTCCTTGTTTTCTCACAAATGTTGGGGATTTGCCTTGTAATTGCCAAGACGTTTTAATTGTTTCTTAATTATTTGAATGATTTTGCCACTGCTTCTGAAAAATTTTTTAAAGCAAGTAGGTGGGGACATGAGTGTCATTTAGTTTTGAATGGAAAAGGGACTTCCTATTTCTACAGATGACATGACATTTTCCCTAGGTGCAGACTTCTGAGTTCAGGAGAAGCCAGGCTGTGCTTCCCTCCTGCAGGGCACTCAGGGCAGAGACGGGCAGGTGTGAAGGCCCATACTTCACAAAGGGCAGCTTGAAAGGGGATGTGGAACAGCTGGGCCAGGGGGAGGAATCTTTTAAGGGCCAAGTAGAGGAAACCCTTTCTCATCCAGCAGACCAACAGGCAGGAGTTGGAGAAGAACTCAGAGAGACAGGTATGCACCCTTTTGAGAGGGCCGATGTCTGCAGTTTCTTCTAACCCCTGGTTATGGGGAAGGTGGGGAGGGCGTTTCACATGCAATACACCTGGATTCTGAGGAAGACTTCGGGCTGTCACTAGGAGAGGCTTTGATGATAACATCAGAGACAAACTGCGGCCCACTAGGAGGGTTTCTGTGCCTCTCCCCAGTGCCTTCCTCATGCTTATCCCAGGGAAGGTTTCATCTCAGCACCAGCAAGAACGGAGGGACTGGCCAGTGCACCCTGCACTGCAGGGAGAAAGGGCTGCTGGTGTCTGCCTTCTGGGATTGTAGGAGCCAAGTGGGAAATATGAACAAGAACACAAAGACAGGCACCTGTAGTTCAAAGCAGACATTAAAGGGCTGAAAGAGCAGCTGCTGAGCATCACCTGGAGAAGGCTGAGGACGCTCCCTAGTGATGGGGGAGGGGCAGCACTGAAAGTGCTGGGTCAGGGTCACATTCTGACGTCATCCTGGTGCCCCCTGAAAGCACTAGGAAAAGGCTTCATTTTAATAAAAGCAATATTGAGTTTTAAAACTTACTTCCAAAGTGTTTCTCTTGTTTCAGAAGACATGGATTTTAGTAGAGTTTGGGGCTTTCTTCAGACCTTTGTGCACCTTTTAATTCAGTTAGTCTACTTCATATTACTTTTTTCCTTGTTGAGTTTTTATTTATATTTGAAAGATTTTTTAAATGACTGCTGCTTTTAAAAATACACCTTTGAAAGCCATGAATTAAGAATTTATCACGCTTTTGAAGTATTAAAGAAAATGGCAAGAATTACTTTTTTAGTGTAACATACAATGGAATAGCGGTGTTGACACATCAAAGGGATAGATACCTATAAACAAAATATGGGCATGTTTCCTTACTGCCAGAAACATATATCACATTTCAAAGAGATTCGAAATTAAGGAAATTTTATTTTTCTCCAAAGAAAAGTGGCTAATTTCTATATCACCACTTTGCAGGGCATGCGGAGGCTTTAAACAAGTCAGATTTGTTTTTCTTCTCTGTCGAGTACTTCCCCATACATCTCTTTAACAGCCTTGCCAGGGAGACACAGGGGAATTATAGTCACCGGTTTACAGATTAGAAAAGGAAGACCCTTGATTCAGTGACTTACCCAAGGATAGGCAGCTAGTAAGCTGCAAATCAAGATGAGAAACCCAGATGCCCTTTTCCTGAGTTCCATTCTGCTGCTCACTACTCTGAACTAGTGTATTTCAATGATGTCTAAAGACCTTCATATGACATAGGCTATCCTTACACAGACTCTTAGTTGCATAAATCCCTGGGTACGTAGTATATTCTAAAATGACTTACTATTCAAGTATACAGTTCTATAATGCTGTATTCTAATTTAAAAAAAAAAACTTTTGCAGCTGAGTGTGGGTGAAATTTTATGATAATCTGACACAGATAATGAGATGTGCTATGGGTTGGAAGGGAAATCACTTTTAGCTCATCCTCTTCCTTAAACAGTTGAGCCCAAATTAGCCCACAGTGGTAATGTGGACTAAAATTGTTTCTTAATTGCTGAAATTCTTATCAAATTAGGGTTGGGAATGTTATCGCCAAATATTATGTTGGAACAAGCGTTACTAAATTCGGTATTTAGGGTGACCTTTACTATTGCTGTGAAATGTTTTAGGAAAGGGTTCCCAAGTCACAGATCTGTGTCAGGATTCTTAGTCTTTGTTTAGTTTTTTTGTTTTCATGGTTGTTTCCTCCTCAATCTTCTTCCCCAACTCAAAGGACCATGTTATTTACCCATTTAAAAAGATTCTAGACTACCAGCAATTTTAAATTCTCAGTGACATTGGTGATTGGGCATGATGCTCTCTCCCCATTCTTCAGCTTGGCTGTGTGCAGCTCTGCCTCCGACACTCCTTGCTGAGTGTCCTGTTTTCTGTCTGTGGAGCCCATTCACATTTTCCCCTTGTGATCTGTAATGCTTGTACAATAAGAATCTTTCTTTTCTTTCAGTTTTCATATTTTGTTACAATCATTTGAAAATAATTTTTTTCTTCCTAGATTGAGATTGGAAGAGAGAAGAAAAGAGCTGTTACAGAAACTTGAAGAAACTACTAGATTAACTACTTATTTGCATTCACAACTTAAAAGGTGAGCTTATCAGATTTCTGAGGGGAAAACTTTGAATACATTCAGGCATATTCTTGTTCATCTCTGATTACTTTTCACTTTATTTCCAACTACTTAAAAGTAAATAAAATCATTATACTAGTACAGTTAATATTTGAGTGATCAGATTTAAAGTCACATTTTCTTTTTCATGAACCCAGTGTCATATTTGGAATACATTTGAAATATGTTATAGAAAGAAGATATGTTTTAGCTGTCAATACACTTAGGAAAATAACACATTTTTCCCATTGCCCCATTTTTTAAAAAGGGAAAACGGGGGAGTTTTGCCTTCAAATAGCCATAGATTTCCTTATATTGATGAAAAAAAAATTCACTCCTCACATTGACACACAAAGAGGAAAGATGAGCGAAACCAAGGGTCTTTTGTGTGACTTCTTTCTTTTTATTAGCTTGCCTTCTTTTCTCTAAAAATAAAAAGCTTTTTTTTAAAAAAAAAAATAAAAATCTACATTAATGTTTTTGCCCTGTTTCTCTTTTTTTCTTTCAATATTTTTTAATCACAAAGTGGCTTCTAGATGTCTGTGCAAATAAACTTATCAGCAAGTATTTGATTCTTTTTATTTTTGCAAAAGGAGGATAATGTTTAATACTACTACTAGCTACTTAAAGAGTATTTGGAGAGCAAGGCTGAAAAGGTTAGTGAAGAAGCATAGACATGGTATACAGTTATGTGCCACATGATGACTGTTTGTCAAGGACAGACTGCATATATGATGGTGGTCCCATAAGATTATAATACTGTATTTTTACCGTGCTTTTTCTAGTTTAGCTATGTTTAGACACACAAATACTACCATTGTGTTATAATTGCCTACAGTATTCAGAACAGCAACTACTGTGCATGTTCATAGCCTGGGAGCAATAGGCTACGCCCTATAGCTTGGGTGTGCAGTGGGCTGTACCGTCTAGGTTTGTGTAAGTACACTCTGTGATGTTTGCACACACAGCCTGGAATCAGTAGGCTACACCCTATAGGTTGGGTGTGCAATGGGCTGTACCATCTAGGTTTGTGTAAGTACACTCTGTGATGTTTGCACACACAGCCTGGGAGCAATAGGCTACACCCTATAGCTTGAGTGTGCAGTGGGCTGTACCATCTAGGTTTGTGTAAGTACACTCTGTGATGTTTGCACACACAGCCTGGAATCAATAGGCTACACCCTATAGCTTGGGTGTGCAGTGGGCTGTACCGTCTCGGTTTGTGTAAGTACACTCTGTGATGTTTGCACACACAGCCTGGAATCAATAGGCTACACCATATAGCTTGGGTGTGCAGTGGGCTGTACCGTCTAGGTTTGCGTAAGTACACTCTGTGATGTTTGCACAGTGATGAAATCACCTAACATGCATTTCTCAGAACTCGACCTGGTTGTTAACTGACACGTGGCCGTGATAGGGATTTCCTCTGTCCCTGGCCATTGATTCCATTCTTAACAGGTTTCTGCCCTCTGCAGATCTGAAGGAGCCAGTAGGGATTGTGATAGGTTTTCCATTTTGTAGCAGATTTTATGGTGTGTGCTTTTCATCTTTCAGCCTCTCTGCCAGCACCCTGTCCGTGTCATCTGGGAGCAGCCTGGGTTCCCTGGCATCAAGTCGGGGCTCTCTGAACACCTCCAGCAGAGGGTCACTCAACTCCCTCAGTTCCACTGACCTCTATTACAGCAGTCAAAGTGATCAGATAGATGTGGATTATCAGTATAAACTGGACTTCCTTCTGCAAGAGAAAAGCGGTTACATTCCTTCCGGACCCATTACCACCATCCATGAAAACGAGGTGGTCAAGTCCCCCAGCCAGCCTGGCCAGAGTGGACTCTGTGGGGTGGCAGCTGCAGCAACAGGCCACACTCCTCCGCTGGCTGAGGCCCCCAAGTCTGTGGCCTCCCTGTCCTCGAGGTCCTCCCTTTCCTCCTTGTCTCCTCCAGGCTCTCCCTTGGTTTTGGAAGGCACGTTTCCCTTGTCTTCTCATGATGCCTCTCTCCATCAGTTCTCTGCTGACTTTGAAGACTGTGAATTGAGTAGCCATTTTGCAGATATCGGCCTTGTCGAAAATCAGATTTTGCTGGATTCTGATTCAGGAGGAGCCTCCCAGTCTCTTTCAGAGGATAAAGACCTTAATGAATGTGCTGGTGAGCCATTATATGAAGGAACTGCAGGTAAATGCAGCCCTTTGCTTTCATGTATTCCCTCTTGGTGATTTTAAGGAGGATTATTGGAGGGTTATTTTTCCATATAAACAAAAGGGTATGATTCCCCTTCTCTTTCTTTTGAGTAATTGTTTTGGCTTCATTTAAGAAGGAGTTTTTACTTATATACCTAGATATTTTTCATTATCAAATAAAAATCACCTTCCCTATTTAATAGACTTAATCATTTAGTACCTGTTCAGTTGTCCAGAGACACTCTGTGTGTGGTAGCTGACGAGGAACGTATTTTGTGAACCCATTTCATATTTCCAAATAGATTCCGGTTCTGAAATAGCAAGGCAAAGAGGATTGTCTTTTAAAAGTTGGCCTAAAACAGATTAAAACCAAGGCAATTAACATACTAGCTAATTAGTACCAAGGTTCAGTGTTTAGATTGTTGAGGGAATTCTATATAAATACAGTTTTTGTTTCAAGCCAGACTCTCCTTTTCTGGCAAAAGTTAATTTGGAGCAGCAGGTTGCAGTGTATGGTATTACCCTGCCACCTTCTGGCCAGGTGAACTGTTGCAGCCCCGGGAAGAGATTACTAGAGATTGGAGTTCTTAGGCCTGCATTTGTATTCAAAAAGACAGAAACAGGAAAAATATAATGTTTTGTTTGTTTGTTTTCCTTTGCAAGGCAGGAACTTTGAATATGTTAGATGTGATTGTAAAGAGCACAAGATGGTACTCTTGTTGGCAGATGATCACTGTTGGTCTGAGGAGGAGGATCTGTTCCAGAGCTAGCTTGAGACAGAATGTGAAATAAAAGCCCCCGTGCTAGTCTAGAGGAGTCCTGTTCATAGCTACATGTTTTACTGACGAAAGAGGGCAGGGCTCTTTAGAAGTGCTCTTTTCCTGTTCCTAGAAGCATTTTTATTTGTATGTATGGTCCTAAGAATTCTAAGTAATCGATTGGCCAATTCAGATGTGTAAAGACATTGACAAATCCACCGTGTTTCTGTGGTTTCAAATACTGAAGACCCAAGTGCTGTGCCCTGCCAGTGGCCTGGGGCAGAGGGAGGGCCCATGAGACATCTGTGTGGTTTGTGCGCCCCCTCCTGGGCAGATGTCAAAGCTACAAGTAACAGGTTATGGAAATAACCACAAAGAAAATAACCAGGGGAATGGTGCATACGTAATGGCCCCAAAGAAACAGAAAGCCGTGTGGGGCCTTCACCACTGCTTCTGGGAAGGAGTATGGTGTGTGTGTGTGTGTGTGTGTGTGTGTGTGTGTGTGTGTGTGTGTGTGTTAGGGGGTGCATACCACTCCTGGAACCAGCCAAGCCTCCACTCACACTTTAGTCACCAACATGTTTGGGTAAGCACACTACCTAGTCTCTCAGGATTGTGGTTCCTTATCTGCAAAATGGGGTTGCTACAGTAATCCTTGTGTCAGGCTGAAGGATTAATGCGGTGATACATGTGAAGCACCTAACCATGTCTGGCACTCAGCACACAGTTCATGATAATTATTAGCACTCTGTGACAGTGATGATGATAAGTAATAAACTCTGGCTAAACACAATTCTTACCATAAACTATGGAAAGCTATGAGAAGAAGAAAGAGAAGAAAGTGAAATGTTCTCTGTGCCAGTGTTCCATCCTGTGCTTTGAACTTACATCTCTTGACCCTTCAAGCTAGTTTTGCTCTTCCTGTATTTGGAGTGGTATCTACTGACCACTTCTAATGTTCAGTCAGTTTGGAGGGGCAGTAAGTGAGGCTGGATGCTGGAGAAGAGGGGAGAGAGTGATGAGGGAAAAAGTTGCCTAAAGTCTGTCACCCACCCAGTAATCCTGAGGTCTGGGAGTCCTGTCTTGCAGATGTCTCTGGTTGGCCCATGCCTTTTTCCTGACACTTGGGTCTTGCTGTGTCTGAAAAGTTTGTGGCTGGAGACAGGTATCTCTGAATCTTTTGAGAAACAGTTTTTAACTTTTTAAATGCATATATTAGAAAACTGCTGTTAAAAAGTTACCCTAAGAGAAAATACATCCAAGAACTTTGATTGCAGATAATATTCAGTTGCATGTCCAAAAACAAGTGACAGCATGCATTTAACCATAAAGACTAATTCTCACAAATTAGCTGGGCATGATGGTGGACACCTGTGGTCCCAGGAGGCTGAGGCAGGAGGATGTCAAGGCTGCAACAAGCTGAGATTGCACCACTGCACTCCAGCCTAGGCGACAGGAGTGAGACCTTGTCTCAAAAAAAAAGAAAGATGAATTATCTTCAGGTTACCAGCACTTTTTTTCAGGGGACATCTGCCCTGCATGTGGGGGTGGTGGTTCCCTATCAGGGACGTTTGTCATCTCCCTCAGTGCTCTAGAGGCTTAGGCAGGTAAAGTCAAGTCCCTTTTATGTAAACTTTGCTCTCCAGTGCCAATCCCTGCTGCATGACACCAACCACGTTGGGATAACTACGAAGGCCTTCCACAGTCAGTCACTGTCATTGTCAAAGTCAATTTCAGGCTGCTATGGTTATTCCTGGGGGTAATCAATAAATCATGTCATCACCTTCACCCCTCACAAAGGGGGGTGGGCAGAGAGAATGCACTTCATCATCAAGGAAAAAGCATTCCCACTGCCAGAAATAAAAGGGAAAATGCAGCAATCAATCCTGTAATCTGAAGCCTTAAAACTTAAACATCTTAACAAGATGGAAAGTCACGACTCAGAAGGGGGCCGAAATGCATACCAATACAGATCCCTGCGCTCTCTCTCGCTCACTAGAGGATGAAAGAGCACCACAGGCTTGCAGCTCATTACAGTACAGAGCACAGCCTTAAATGAATGCTCCTTGCTCACTGCAGGATGCTGGTGTATGAATATGAGTTAAGATAAAAGTTAAGTGACCATTGGTGCTAAAGATTCAGTAGCACAAAACGTTTTTTCATGGTGTTGGCTGGTGAGGAGTTCCTGTAAGTCAAAGACATTTTTTCTTAATTTCTGTTAGAATAGTAGCACAGGAGATGTAGAATATGGCATGTGGAGAGAAGGGGAGAGCAAAGGAGGTGGAAACTTATCCATTGAGTAGCTAGAAGCTCTCTGTGATAGAAATGTCACCTTGAGGGACATAGATCATTTCCTATTCCTGATTATATGAAAACTACAGTGAATGCTTGAAAGAAAGAGACTAAGGACCAATGAGAATTTGTGTAATTCATCCCTTCCCTTAAAATATTTCAGGACAAAGAAAAACCATATTCTCTTCCAAGTAATGACTGAAATAACTGGCGTCCCAGGAATCTTATAAGTCATAGTGCCTTGAATTGTTTGCATCTGTAGATTTGAATATTAATATCCTTGACTCCCAGAAGGATATCTTATTTTGGATTGCTCATGACCAAACTGTATGTATTTAATGCTTAACTTTTCCACATAAGACATTCTGATTAGAGCTCTCACCCTCCCCTCCATAGATGTGGAAAAATCATTACCAAAAAGAAGAGTGATCCACTTGCTTGGGGAGAAAACCACTTGTGTGTCGGCTGCTGTATCTGATGAGTCTGTGGCTGGAGACAGTGGGGTCTATGAAGCTTTTGTGAAACAGTAAGGATTCAGCAGGGGTGCTTGTAGCTCCAGCAAATCTCCTTCGCCGTGGGTGTGGGTTATATGCTGTAAATGGACTGCTACCATTAGTCCACTCTTTGGCTTAGTAAGGACTTTAGCCATTAAAGAAGTGATGTGGCTGAAAATTTCAGTATATCAAAAATGACTTAGCCATGGAAATGATAAACAGATTGGTGTACCCAGAGGCAAATGACACTCTTTAAAATTTAAAAACCTTGATTTTAATGGGAATATTGGAAGAATTCACCAGACTCTGTTTGGCACATGAAGCTTCTCATGTGTATTTCTGAAAGCCTGGAATGTCTCTAGGGTGTGGTATATTTCTAGTAATAAGGAAAGTGGTCATCAGAGAGGCTTTGCCCTAAAGCCCAGAGGCGAACTCTTCTTGAAAAGAGCCTCTAAAACAGTAAGCTTTCACTGGGATCCGTTCCACTGGGAGGGCATAGGAGTGCTGTTAATTCGGATTTTCATTCAGAACGCTAAGTGGCAAACTGTAACCATAACAATTAGTAACCCCATTAATTAACTGTTCATCTACTCCCTGTCCATATAGGCCTAGTGAAATTGAAGATGTCACATACAGTGAAGAGGACGTAGCCATTGTGGAGACCGCCCAGGTTCAGATAGGACTCAGGTAAGGAACGTGTGTGGGAAAGGAGCAGTTCTGACATCTGTGCGGGGCAAGCGGCCTGTGGTGATTCCTGACTTCATTTAGCCTCTCTTTTGACAGATACAATGCAAAAAGTTCAAGTTTCATGGTGATTATAGCACAGCTCCGAAACCTTCATGCCTTCTTGATACCTCATACTTCAAAAGTGTAAGTAAAATCAGTGAAGATCAAATTGAGGAACTTAAAAATTTCCATGTAAGAGAATTTTACACTGTAATCATGCAGTTCATCAAAATGAAGATATGGAAAAGACATAACGGGGCTGATCATGTCTGAATGAATGGCAGACAAAGATAAAAAGGAAAATGTGAGGAAGACTTATTGAGTTTTAATTCTTATTCAACTGATTCTGTTTAACAGTAGAAGCCAAGACTTTTAATCTTTTTTTTGCAACCAGAAATACTATTTTATGCTGTTTTGGAATTTGATTGAAATAGGAGTAAAACTTTTGTTATTGTGTAATTGTTACTACTGTTGTTTAAGGAATTTTCTAATCTTTTACATTAAAATGTAGTGATTAAATTTAATGTATCAGTACAACATGGCCAGTCAAACATTTTGTCATGCTACATGTATGTTTTCATCATCAAGCATTTACTTCCCTGTGACCAGTGAGTTCTTAAGTTATTTCATTTCATCAAACCAAGAATCCCAACAAATTGATGACATAATTCTACACAGTCCATTGCTTAGAGACTGTTTCCTGACAGATAAGCCTAAAAATCTTATGACAGATAAGTCTGGAAGTCTTAGACGCCACCATTAACATTTTCTGACATCAGAGTTTCAGGGACTCTGAAGGGCTCATGGCTGGACAGTACCAGGAAGAATCCAGATTTCGACTTAGCACGTCAGACATAGAATCTAGAATATACATGTCCACTCTGCATTGAAACTTCCTGTAAGAAGTGGATTTTAATAATATTTTGAATATGCATTGTAAGGCTTTGGAAATTTAAAAAGAGCTGTTGAGGGATGATCCCCAAGACTCTATACCCAGCCAGGTGAATGTTTTCCTTAATGATAGAGTATATTCCTTAGTGATAGGACTTTTAATAGAATAAATTTAAGAGTCCTTCATGTTTTTCCTACAGAGTTACTTGTAAATTCACCTCCTAACATTCCAATAATCATCAGAAAGAAGAAACTGGATCTAAGAGAAAAAGAACTAGGTAGAGATTATGTACTCAACAACAGAAGAATAGAGATAGTAGATTTCTTTCTTTTTTTTTTTGTAAAGATGGGGTCTCACTGGGTTGCCCAGGCTGGTCTTGAACTCCTTGGGCTCTCCCATTTTGGCCTCCCAAAGTGCTGGGATTACGGGTGTGAGCCACCGAGCCCAGGTGAGATAGTAGATTTTAATGTGTTGACAAGCATCAAAATTGGAGGTAGGATAGGATTCTAGGAAGAGAGTTGAGCTTAGAGAACTTCCTGAATCAAGGCGTGGGCTGTCCACATCATTAGTGAGATCAGTGAGGAGAGCAGGCATCACGTAGAAGTGCCTAGATCAACACAGACAGCCTGCTTCCCAGGCCTGAGATGAGAAACACCAGTCAGCAGTGTCCAGGAAGACTGGCTTGATATAATCTGTGACTTCTCCCTACCGGTAAATAACTTGTGATGTTGGAGCATGCCATTGATGGCCTTTCAGTAAAGCAGATCACGGAGAAGACAAGTCTACCAGAGATTGAAACAATAAACAGTGAGAAACAATGCACAACTTCAGGAGAAAACTACAGAACACCCCAAGAACACACACCTGTAAACTCACCGTAAGGGCACACCTACAATATGCTCTCCTTCAACTAAACCCATCCCAGCCATTCTCACTTACCTCATAGGGTGTCACCAAGTCCCTTCTGGAGGCATGGGGATACCCGTGTGGTGTAGGACCAGTGAAATACTCAGCCCAGCCAACGAGCAGACATTTGCTCTTCGGCTCCCCAGCTGGTGTGCAGGCACGCGTTTAGTTGGTGCGAACCTTCCTGACACGTATAGCAATCTTTCCTTAAACCCATATGTAAAAGCCTTGGCGTAAATAATGACACTGCTAAACATGACAGCTAGTATGAGATAGTCTTAAAATTGTTCTTTTTTTCCCCAACTTCAAAAGTTAATTTTTTGATTATTAATTGTGACAGACAGAGTTTATGCTTCCTCTGGCTGACAACAGCCACGGTATTTTTGTGAGTTGCTTGCTGGACTCCAGGTTGTAGAGATATGCCCCCCCCACACGCCCACCCCCACAACAGAATGAGAGAGAGCATACCCTTGCCTTCTTTCCCTTGTATATTTGGCTCTTAACTGTGTAAAATCTCACTTTTAAAATGTGGAAACATTTTTAAATCACTTAAGTGGTTAGGCCGCTGGTACGGAAGGCTTCGCTGGTGTGATGGCTGGAGAAACAGAAGATCCCTTCCCTCCATTGCCACTCTAATACACTCCTTCTTTATTACTTTTCCACGAAAGCAGAGGAAAGATTTTCTTCTGCTGAATCTTCAGCCTCCCAGGGACAGTGAGCTGTGTCTTATTAAGGCTCTTTAATCAACAGCAGTGGGCCTCAGGCCCACTAGGTCTTCAATGTGGAATCTCCATAATTAGTATTGATATGAAATACAAAATAATATGACATTACTCAGTTCTGCATTTGAATTACAGTTTTTCTAATGGAGAAAGACATGTTTTAGAATACAGATTAGACAAGCCTGGAAATGGTGGTGGAGGGATAGACTTAGCGGTATTCTCTTTCTGGGATTTAAAGGAAGTTACCTCATGCTGTTTCTAAGAATTGTGGGTCCTCATATAATGTGTGCTCAGAAAAGTTACTTTAAAGTAGTATTAGAAGTTATTGTTTTTCTGTAACTCTTCCTCTGAATTTTGCAAGGCAAGAGACTCTTTTAAAACAGTTTGTCGTATCTCAGACTTTGGAGATGCTAGACAGTGATATTTTTGAACTGTTATTTCATCTGTTTTAAATTTTCTTAACAATATGCTACTTAGCCTTTCTTTTTCTCTAGTAGGATAATGTATTCCATTCCTGGGAAGTGATCATCAGCATCTCTTGTTTAATACTCAGGATGAGGATTCTGTGGGATAAAGTCACCAGTATCTACTTAGTGTGTTCCTACCTTCCCAGGCTCAGAAATAACTTATTTTGGAATTGGCTGTACATGGGGCAGGTGGGACGTTAAATTCGTCTGCCCTGTGGATTTTCTTCCTCTTCACTTTCCTATCATGTGCCTTTGCTGCAGTCTCGTGGTGAGTGGAGGCTGGGCCGTTGCATGCTCAGGGGCGTAGTCAGCTTGGGTGGGTTCAGAACAGAGCATCTATGCAGCTGAGCACGGACCCGTGATAGCAGCAACACTTTAGATTGATCATGAACTCCATGATCCCTCATTTTCTTGCTTTGCAGATAATTTCAAATGATAGCTGTGAATCTGGTAAAATTAAAGTACCTATGAAATCCGTTTTATTCTTGTTCTTTGCAGATATTTTAGGGTTGCCGTTCTTCCTTCCTCAACTGATGTCAGCTGTCTGTTTCGCACAAAAGTTCATCCGCCCACAGAATCCATTTTATTCAATGATGTGTTCAGAGTCGCCATTTCCCAAACAGCTTTACAACAGAAGACACTGAGAGTAGATCTTTGCTCTGTCAGTCAACACCGAAGGGAAGAATGCCTGGTAGGATTCTTCATAATTCCCATTATCAAATAACATTTACGATTGGATGGTCTGAGAATATATTTTGTAGTTGCTCTTTTGCCAGCCCTAGGAATCACTACAGACCTGCCCAACATCTTGGGAAACATCTAGTGTTTTTTCATTTTTTTCTGAAATAGTGGTTTCTGTTTATTCTCTTATTCCAGACCTTTAAAAACTGCTTATAAATTGTGATTTTCTATAAAAGCTGCTTTCTATTTCTAGCTTTTAACCACAGAAGAACTTTACTTTTGTGACAGCTATCACTCATGGAGTGTGCTTACCACTCCCAGTGCCAATGTCAAGCTTTGTGTGAGTGTGAGTGCTGTGTGTATATTATCTCATTTAATCCTCATGACAACCCGATGAAAGATTGGTTATGAAATGGATGATTATCCCCTATTTTCAGATAAGGAGCTGTTTGAGAGGTAATATATTTTACGGTCACACAACTATAAACGATAAAGCCAGATATCAAAATGACATCCCCACATAATTCACTGTTACAAATTAAAATTCAGCAAGACCACTGAATACTATATCGTACCCTTATTCACCTCACTCTCCCCCACCACAGTATTGGAGCTTTTGGGAAGATGTGGTGTTACTGTTTAGAGCAATACGATATTTAAATGCTACAGCAGAAGACTTCACACTTAACTAATTGTGAGTTTAACACGCTGCTGTGCATAATAACCAGAAAACCATTACGTCCCAGTAAAGTTACATAAGCGTTCAAATGCAGGCATCTGGAGATGTGCCCATGTGTTCAGAAAACCATTACATCCCAGTAAAGTTACATAAGTGTTCAAATGCAGGCATCTAGAGACATGCCCATGTGTTCAGAAAACAATGTGAGTCTCCAATTGAGCTTTTCTCTGCAGTCCAGTGGGAAGCACAGAAACACACATGTTTCATGATGAACAAAGTTTAAGAGGAGTAGGTTTCTTCTTAATTTTTCTTCTTGTTTTCTTGAGAAAAATGTCTGATAATATTATCTGACAATGAAGTTAGAAAGAAGCAAAGATAACAGACTTGTTAGGCTATCAGAAAGGCTTTAGTATCATAGATGTCATATTTAGTATAATAGATGTCAGAGGCTCCAACAAAGTTCATAAACGTGTTAATTGATAGCCTTAAAGAAGAGTGTAATTTAATTTAGATTTTGTCTCTGTGTGATTTGGTGGAATATGAAAGCCTTTATCCTTTACTTTTTTTGCCATTCTACTAACTTATGTATCTAGAGAAAACTGTTGCTATCTGATGTCTTATTCAAGAACCAAAGTAGAGTTTTTATTTTTTTTTCAGTGGATAATGGGTTGTTGGTGAGTAATAATCAAGTCACCTTTACAGCATATTATAAGAAGTACTATGAGGCCGGGCGCGGTGGGTCATGCCTGTAATCCTGGCACTTTCAGAGGCTGAGGCAGGCAGATCACCTGAGGTCAGGAGTTCGAGACCAGCCTGGCCAACATGGTGAAACCCTGTCTGTACTAAAAATACAAAAATTAGCTGGGTGTCGTGGCATGCGCCTGTAATCCCAGCTACTCAGGAGGCTGAGGGAGGAGAATCGCTTGAACCCAGGAGGTGGAGGTTGCAGTGAGCTGAGATCGCATCACTGCACTCCAGCCTGGGAGGCAGAGCAAGACTGTATCTCAAAAATAATAATAATAATTTCACATTTACATAAAGGGCATGCTTAGTCATTAGGTCTTTGCAAAATGGTATCTCACAAACTAATCCCAGGATTAACTTTTAGGTGGGGGGTTATTATTTAGTCACAGCTGAAAATATAACATATCCCCATGTTTTAAAAAATCCAGCAATGCTTTATGTCAGGAGAATTGCATTTTTTTTTTACCCTAAAACAAGCTCATTCAATAATCTTTATCAGAACAAATACTAACTTAAACATTTTATTTTCTCTCCTCTTTATTTTTTTTCTTTGTTTTCTTTCACTTACATAGGCTGGAACTCAGATCAGCCTGGCAGATTTACCCTTTTCCAGTGAGGTTTTCACTCTGTGGTATAACTTGCTTCCTTCCAAGCAAATGCCTTGCAAAAAGAATGAAGAAAATGAGGACTCTGTATTTCAACCAAACCAGCCGTTAGGAGATTCTATAGACTTGGTGAGTCAAAATTAGAGAATAATATGAAAGTAATGTGAAATACATACATAATATGAAAGTAATATGAAATATGGAATGCTACGAGACCAGTGGAAAAAAACATGCTTTTATCACTTTCACTATCCTTCCTTTTCTCCTTTCACAACTTTGTTTTTCCCAGCTTCCTATAAAAAAAGAAAGTTAATTTCCAGCTTTGGCTTTGTTTCAAATATGGTTTGTAAAAGGAGCACTCTTTTCTGCTCACACTTCCTTATAAAAATAAACTTTGACATAGAGGCTTCACTGGTTTTAAGTGATCATGGAAAAAACCTTTTAATTTAAATATATACTTTCCATGCATCGTGTTCACATTGTTTGATTCCACTGTCAGGTTATACATTTGGCACTTTTATATTTTGCAAATTTGAAATTATTAAGCCAAAACCGTGTGTTAGCTTTTCATTTGTAACATCAATAGCCATAAATATTTTCTATTAAATACTTTTGTAAGGACCAGACATGGTGGCTCAGGCCTGTAATCCCAGCACTTTGGGAGGCTGAGACAGGTGAATTGCTCAGGAGTTCAAGACCAGCATGGGCAACATGGCGAGATCCCGTCCCTACAAAAATAACAAAAAAATTAGCTGGTTGCAGTGGTGCACGCCTGAAGTCCTAGCTCCTGGGGAAGGTGAGGTGGGTGGATCGATTGACCCTCGGAAGTTGAAGCTGGAGTGAGCCATGATCACGCCACTGTACTCCAGCCTGGAAGACAGAAAGAGACCCTGTCTCAAAAAAATGGGGGGTGGGTTGTAGCGAGCAACCATACTTCAATACAGTACTTCAAAAAAACTTAAAAAGGGTCCTTTTGTGAGGCCGTTCATCACGAATTTGGCATTTGTGGATATTGTTACTGAATTCAAGTTTATTTTAGATTATGAGGAAGGCATTTCCTAAGCAAAAGTCAGATAATTAAACAACAGTGTTTTATTGATCATCTACTGTGTGTGAGACACTATAGTAGGCACTGTAGTGGGGGTGAAAGGGAAACAAACATCATGGTACATCTTAGATCACATGCCCAGGCTTGTGGTAGACACTAAACAACGCATACAAGATGGCGAAATGGAGTTTTTATCCTTAAGAATGCTTTTATAATGGTCACACTTTATGTAAGTTCTTAAAAATAGCTTTATTACAATATAATTCATATGTCATACATTTCACCCATTTAAAGTGTGACAGTTTATCCATTTGAAGCACCCAATTCAGTGGTTTTTAGGATATTCACAGAGTTGTGCATGCAACCAACATTACAGTCTAATATTAGAACATTGACATCATCACCAAAGAAGCCCTGTATGCATGAGCAGAGACTCCCAGTTCTCCCTAACCTCTTTCCCCCAAGGCAACCACTAATCTCTGCTACAAGGCAACCACTAATCCCTGTCTCTGAATTTGCTTCTTCTGGACATTTCATGTAAATGGAATAATACAATATTTGTTCTCTTGTGTCATCTTTCACTTAGCATAATATTTTCAAGGTACCTCCATGGTGTTGCAGTATTAGTATTTTATTCCTTTTTATTCACACATAATATTTTATTGTGGATGTACCACATTTTATCTGTCCATCAGCTGATGGGCATTTGGGTTGTTTCCACTTTTTGGCTATTATGAAAAATGCAGCTATGAACACTTGTATACAAGTGTTTTTGTGGACGTATGTTTTCATTTCTCCTGGGTATGTACATGTGAGTAGAATTGTTGGGTTGTATAGTCACTCTGTGTATAATATTTTGAGGAATGGCCAAACTGCTCCTAGGTGTTGGCACCATTTTGCATTCCCACTAGCAGTGTATGAGGTTTCCACTTTCTCCCTTGCCATGTGTTATCTGTCTTTCTGATTCTGGCCATTCTTGTGGGTGTGAAGTGGTGTTTTACTGTGGCTTTGATTGACATTTCCCTAATGACTAATGACGGTGAGCATCATAGGCTTATTGGCCATTAGTATATCTTTTTTTTTTTTGAGAAATGTCTCTTCAGAATCTTTGTCTATTTTTAAAAGGTATTGTTTATTTATTTATTTTTAATTTATTGTTATTTTCTTTTGAGATGGAGTTTTGTTCTTATCGCCCAGGCTGGAGTACAATGGCACAATCTCGGCTAACCACAACCACCCCCTCCGAGGTTCAAGTTATTCTCCTTCCTCAGCCTCCCGAGTAGCTGGGATTAGCTGGGATTACAGGCATGCACCACCATGCCCAGCTAATTTTGTATTTTTAGTAGAGATAGGGTTTCTCCATGTTGGTCAGGCTGGTCTTGAACTCCCGACCTCAGGTGATCTGCCCACCTCGCCTCCCAAAGTGCTGGGATTACAGACGTGAGCCACCACATCCAGTCTGTTTATCTTTTTATTATTGAGTTATAAGAGTTCCTTACCTATTCTTGATACAAACCCCTTATCAGATAAATGATTTGCAGATATTTTCTCTCATTCTGTGGATTGTCTTCTCACTTTGTTGATGGTTTTATTTACGGCACAAAAGTTTTTAATTTTCCTAAAAGTCCAGTTTATCAATTTTTTAAAAATCCTTGTACTTTTGATATCATAACTAAGACTGCTTTGCCTAAACTAATACCACAAAGATTTACCCCTGGGTCTTTTTCTAAGAGTTTTAAAGTCCTCTATTTAGGTCTCTGATTCATTTGAGTCGTTAATGTGGATCCAGTTTCATCTTTTTGTATGTGGATATGCAGTTGTCGCAGCACCATTTATTGCAAAAACTGTTCTTTCCCCTTGAATTATCTTGGCACCCTTGTTGAAAATCAAGTGTGAGGGTTTATATTTCTGGACTCTCAATCCTGTTCATTAATCCGTATGTCTGTACTTAAGCTAGTACCACACTTCCTTGATTACTATAGCTTTGTAGTCATTTTGAGATCAGGAAGTGTGGATCTTCCAACTTTGTTTTTCTTTTTAAAGATTATTTTGGCTATTCAGAGTCCCTTGCATTTCCATAAGAGTTTTAGTATCAGTTTACTAATTTCTGCAAAAAAAGATAGCCAGGATTTTCATAGGGGTAGAATTGGACCTGTAGGTCAGTTTGGAAGATACTGTCATCATAACAGTTCTAAGTCTTCTGATCCATGAACATAGGATATATTTCCATTTATTTAGGTCTTTAATTTCTTTCAATAATATTTCATAGTTTTCAGAGTCAAAGTTTGCATTTCTTTCATTTTTCTTTTTTATTTTTATGTCAGATGGGTAATGTGCTGATGTCCTAATGAGATTTGAAGGAGGCATATGTCACACATGAGCATGAAAACCTAATCATCACACTTAGGAACTACAAAATGATCAGTGTGCGACTTCTTTTGTTAAATTTATTTCTAAGTATTTTATTCTTTCTGATGCTACTGTGAATGGAACCAGGCTTTTAAAAGTTTTGTTCATCATGGCCCCATACAACAGCATAAAAAAGATCTATACATGACCAAGTGAGATTTGTCCTAGGAATGCAAGGTTGGTTTAACACTTGATAATCAATAAATTATATCAGATATTTTATCATGTAAATGTTTTAATCATTTAAAACAAAGTTTGAGGACCCACTGAAAGAGTGTGATGTTTCAGTACATGTATTCATTATGTAATGATCAAATCAGGGTAAATTAACAAATCCATCACCTGAAACTTTTATCATTTCTTTGTGATGAGACCATTCAAAATCCTTTCTTGTAGCTGTTTTGAAGTATATAATACAATGTTGTTAATTACAGTCACCTTACTGGACATTAGAACAGCAGAACTTATTCTGCCTCTCTAAATGTAACTTGATATTCCCGTTGAATAACCTTTCCCTTTTCCTCCTCACCCTCCCTACTCTCCCCAGCCACTGTGGAACTGTTTACTCAGTTGCATTTTTAATTGTTGCACAGTTGATTTTATTTGTCTTGTATCCTGCAACCTTACTGAACTCATTTATTAATTCTAATAGTTTTTTTAGTGGATTCCATTAGATTTTCTATAAGATCATATTGTTTGCAAATAGAGGTGATTTTACTTCTTCCTTTCCAGTCATATGCCTTTTATTTCTTTTCTTCTCTCTCTCTTTTTTTTTTTTTTTTTTTTTTTGCCTATTTGCCCTGCCTAGAACTTCCCAAACAATATTGAAAGAAGTAGTAAGAGCAGACATCCTTGTCTTGGTCCTGATCTTAGTGGAAAAGCTTTCAGCCTTTCACCATTAAGTATGAATTTGGCCATGGCTTTTTCATAGATGTCCTTTATCAGAATGAGGAAAAGATCTTCTTTTCCAAGTTTGTTGACTGCTTTTCATCATTAAAGGCTGTTGGATTTGTAAAATGCCTTTGTTGCATCTCTTGAGATGGTCATGTGGTTTTTGTTCTTTATTCAATTGATATAATGTATTAATTGATTTTCAAGTGGTAAACCAACCCTGCATTCCTAGGATAAATCTCACTTGGTCATAGTGTAGATCCTTTGTATGTTGTTTGACTCAGTTTGCTAATATTCCATTGAGGATTTTTGTGTCTGTATTCATAGTTTTCTTGTGATAGCTTTGGTTTTTATCAGGCTAATTCTGGCCTCATAGTATGAATTAGAAAGCATTCTACCTTTTGGAAGAGTTTGAGAATAATTTGTATTAATTCTTCTGTAAATGTTTCATAGAATTCACAGGTGAAGCCATCCAGTCCTGTACTTTTTTGTGTGTGTAAGTTTTTGTTTACAAATTCTATCTCTGTACTTCAGTCTATTTAGACGTGTAAGTATTGCTTTTTGAGTCTGTTATTAGGTAAAGTAAATTTAGCATTTACGTTTAGCATTGCATTGCATCTTTCTGTTCAACTGAACCTTTTATCATTATGAAGTGTTCCTTTTTATCTCTAGCAATACCTCTTGTTTTAAAATCTACTTTGTCTGGTGTTAGTAAAGCTACATATCAGCCTTCTTGGGTTAGTGTTTGCATGGTTGATCTTTTTTCATCCTTTTACTTTCAACCTTTCTGAAATACTGTATTTAAAGTATTCTACTTATAAGCAATATGTAGTTGGTTTTGATTTATTATCCAGTCTTAAAATCTTCATCTTTTAATTGAAATATTTAGCTCACTTACTTTTAATGCTATTATTGATATATTTGGGTTTGATCCTATTATCTTCCTATTTGTTTTCTTTTAATTCCATCTTTATTCTTTTTCTTTCCTTGTTTTGAATTAATTATTTTTAAATTTTCATTTTTCCGTCTACTAGATCTACAGTCTTTTATTTTTTGCAGTTTCTCTGGAGATTATAGCATGAGTTTTTAACTTATTAAAAACTACCATAAATCAATTCCTTTACTTTTTCCCAGACAATGCAAAGATTTTCAAAGACTTTAACTCCATTTTATACCCTTTCCTCCTTCTCTGCTATTATTGTCATATATTTTGAATCTCACAAGATATTATTATTGTTTCATTGACAATTAGTATTCATTCAGATTTCCTCACATTTTTACCTTTTGTTATATTTTATTTCCTTCTGCATTATTGTGCTTCCATTTGAGACATTTTGCTTCTGCTCAAAGAATTCCCTTTAATATTTCTTTTACTATAGACCTGTTAGTATCTATTTCAACTTCATTTGTGAAGGATGGTTTTTTTGCTGCATATTCAGAATTCTAGGTCTGCAGTTATTTCTTTGAACATGTTAAAAATATCATTTTATTGTCATCTAGCTTCCATTGATTCCGTGGAGCTTTTGGAGGATGACTTAATGGTTGGGTCATATAGCATTATTTCTTTTACTGCTTGTAAGATTCTCCAGCAGTTTCACTCTGATATGCTAATGTGATTTTCTTTTTGTTTATACCACTGAAATTCTTTATCATTTCATTCAATTTTTTGAGCATATTATTCATAAAAACTTAAATGTTTTTCTCAGTGCCTGTAGTGTATGGATCATCTGTGGGTCTGCCTTATTTGGCTATCGTTTCTCTTGACTTTCACTCTTTAGGTCCTAATGAAATACTGGATATTATGTATGAGGATAACTGACTGATATCTTCCTCCAGAGAGGATTTTATATTCTTCTGAAAGGCAAATGACAATATGGGTAGCTTACCTGAATTATGTGGGGACCTGAATTCCAGTTTTGCTCTTCATAAGACTGTATGGCACAATGGAAATATCTGCTTACTATTTTAACCTGATAGCAGCTGTTTTTTTGCTTTGTTTCTCAGCTTCTTGTTCTGCATATAGGCAGCTTAAGAATGGCCAATGCCATGACAGGAATATCATGCAGAATATTGAGCTCACTTTACAGTTCATTTTCTCTAACCTCTTGTGAGTTGACTGCCTTGGTAGTCCTGAACTCAATTTTAGTCTTCCCATCCTACTGACATTGTCACTGTTCTAGGCAGCCACAGTCTGTTTAGCCTGTGTACCTCACCACTAGAATTGACAAATACCCTAAGGGAAAAGAGTGACAATGGCTCACCTTATTATATTTCTGTTCTGCCTGGGATCTTGGCCCTCTAGTCCTGATTGCCTTTGTTGCTTTTCATTGCTTTAAAACAGCTGAGAGGTTTTGCTTGTTTGGGGTTCTATTTTATTCAGCTTTCATATTTGTTTTCAGCAGGAGAGTTGAATCTTCTTTACAGATAGTAGTGTAAATTCCCCTCTGATGAGTTTTTAAATCATTTCTTCAAGGATATGATGTTAATTGCCATATGCTTTCCATTCTCCAGGATGCAGTGTCAGCCTTACTTGCAAGAACATCAGCTGAGTTGTTAGCTGTGGAACAAGAATTAGCACAAGAAGAAGAAGAAGAAGAATCAGGACAAGAAGAGCAAAGGGGTCCAGATGGAGACTGGTTAAACAGTTATTTCCTTTTGCTATTGGGAACTCAAAGATGATGTGTTTACACATCTTACAATGAAACCTTTGTAGGCTCATGGTTTATTCCAGAATTATGGAATGCACTGCACCTTCAGGAAGCTATGCTAGGAAAAGTCTGTCCTTGGTCATTAGAGAGTTAAGGAAGTAACGGCAAGATTGTGGGCAAAGTTAAAACATTAGCCAGATTCTTTGTTCTTGTTTCGAGTAATTTTAAAACACTATTTTCTGAGCTTTTTTTTTTTTAAGTCTAAACTTGATTTTGATAGATATGGTAGCTTATTGTAGAGTTATAATTTTAAAAGTGACTCTATTTTTCTTTTAACTACCTGTAAGTACCATTTAGGCTCTAGGAAGACAAAGCAGGTATTTAAAAAACAACTTCTGAGTACTCATTTCTCTGTTTGTTACCACTCTTACCTTCTTTTTCTGTGTCCTTCCCTTTATCCATACCCAATCCTTTAAAAAGGGGGGCAGAGAGGGAAGTTATTACAGTTTTTGTCCAGGTTCATATATATATAAAGAGCTATCCTTCCTGGATTGTACTGTTTTCTCTTAAAACAAATTTGAGTGAATATTTCACTCATTAAATATATATGTAAAATCGTTTGAGTTAATTTTTGATATATAGTTGTTTAGACTGTTATGTTCAGTTGAACTACTGTTAACACATGTGCGTATACATATATAGCATGCATTTGTATGTGTGTATATAGAAAACTTTTTAGAAACTTAAGAGTGACAAGGTATATCATAAATAACGCAGTCATGGACATTTGGAAGGAATAGCTTTCTACTGTGATGTAAAAAGATATAGATATACTTTGTCTTTATCAAAAGTCCTTCATAGTGAATAAAAGTCACAGCTCTGCAAAACAAATAAATATGAAAATATGAGAGTGATTATAAGGTTCATTATAGTATCTTTAAATAGTAATTCTCATATATGTAAAATACAATTTGTTTCACACATATTTCCAAACAGTACACTTACTATGTAAACAAAGAAATTTATAACTCATAGTAGTCATTAATGGTTCCCCTTATGTTCACTTCATGGCTAGACATTTATTAACTAGTCTGTGCCAGTTTGTCGTTATGTCACCAGACAAATTAAAGCTGAACATTTAGTTATCAATGGAAAGAATGTTTGCATTCGGAGAACATGAAACTCAACAGAGTATGAGATGTTCTAAACCATCCTAGTACTCCTGCTTTATATATTCCATATAAGCGGTATTTATCTTCTGGAGCACCACTTACACCACTTAAAATGCCACTTCAGCCCGTGCCAGGGCTTTTGTTAAAAATGAGTCTTCTGCTAGTTTAGAAGAAAAACTTCCTTAACATAGGATTCTCCCTGCTAGACCGTGAGCACACTCAATAAAATGAGTATTTAAAATCCTTACTTATTTATTCACTCTTAGCTGAGAGTGACTCCATTCTATTATATGATTAATTGTACAATAAATGAACAACGAATACCAAGTTATTTTGTAGTGAGTGTCAATATTTTTAAATGCTAACAAACATTAAACTCTATATGTAATTTTCAGAATATGTCTATTTTAATATCTAGAAATTAGGTTAAATTTCATGAGTTTAACTTTTTAATACCACATTATGGTGATTTTGCTACAGGTTACTAGAGGGTGAAGTGAGGATTTTATTTTTTATGAGACATTTAGTTAAAAACCCCAGCCAAAGAAATGGCTTGGCTCATTATATGTGAGTCTGTTCGTTTCCCAGATAACAACTTAGCATGCCCAGGCTGCGTGTTCATGGAGCATGCCTGCCTACCAAAAGTGTGTTTTTTTTTTGTTTTGTTTTACCATAGGCTAACAATGCTGAGAGAGGCCTCTAACGAAATTGTGGCTGAAAAAGAGGCTGAAGTTAAATTGCCAGAGGACAGTAACTGTACAGAAGATTTAAGTTCATGCCCTAGTGTGCCTGAGGTGAACGAAGACAGGAACAGGAAAGAAAACAACTGTGCCAAAGACCTCAGAAGTCAGCCACCTACTGGAACACCAACACTGGTGACTATTCCACTGTTCCGTCTTAAAACTGATGCCTCACAGGCGCCATGTGGACTAGGGAGATGCGTGCCTGTCTCCTTAGGTGTAAGTTCCGTGTCAGGATTTTGTGCCGAAAGCTGATCTTGAAAGGCGTGTGTGGGAACAGGCTCTGAGAAGCATCATAAATGCTTTAAAGTTTTAAAATGGGCCCAAAATATTCTCCACTTATATTTGGAGAATATATAAGAAGAGAAATAGTTCTAGCTACTTTAAATCTCTATAAATACTCTGTGAATATTAAAAGTATTTTCTGAATTCCTTGGATAATAACAGGGTGTCTTGTGTCAAGTTCCGTATATGTAGCAAGCTTTATTTCCATTTCAAACATGAAGTAAACATTTAAAGTTCATTTTGGTTAGGCGATGCCCTGATTGGAAAGGTGACAGGTGACTTAGTTTAGGCACAAGTGCCAGCCAAGTTATTAAACAAGTAACTTTGCTAGTTAAGTGAGAGATGTATTGAGACTCTCAACCCCATATGGGGAAAATATTTTCAAGCTTTGAGGATGCCCACACACTGGGGATATTAGTAATAGAGTTTAGAAAATTATAATTTTGTATTCCTGAGAAAATAATATTATGCCCTAAGAACTTCCTTTCTCAAAGGAGCAAACTTTCATCAAGAGGCAGGTTTGGAATCAAATTATACCTATAAGATAAAAAACAGACATCTGCCTGTGCCTACTGAGTTTGTATTTTGAGAAACTTCCATTTTTACTTAAGTTTTATTTTTGTTCCATTTCTAAAGATCCAGTAAAAATACAACTCAGCTTCACAACAATTATGTTTATACATGTATAATTGCATATTCTATTTAAACCTACAAGTTGGTGGTATATTTCATTTTCTTATATTTAATTATCTTTATCATTTATTTGGAAAACAGTGTAATCAGAAAGTTGAATAAAGTTTAATGATGATATATACCCAAATAGGATTCTTTATAAAATCATTTTAAATCTAAACCTTCATTCTAATGTTCGACCTTGTGGAGGCAGCACCTCTATTTATGGTGCTTGTTGGACAGATACCACAGTGCCTGCCGTGCAGAACTTCCCAAGAACTCACACTGCCCGCTGTGCAGAACTTCCTAAGAACTTAGCAGAAAGCCACTCTTGGTAGAAAACTGAAGAGAAATTCAACCCAGAAGTACTTCAGAAGTACTATAGTCTGTAATGCAAAGCCTTTCTCTTAGGAGTGGCCATAGTGCTCCATGAGTCTCTGTTGTAACATTAGATATTTTTTCTTTCTTAGAAGAAAGGAGCATAATGTTTACACATCTTTCAGCTCCTGACAAGCTGTTAACTTCTCTTATAGGTTGACAAAGAGACAAACACTGATGAAGCCGCTAATGACAATATGGCAGTTCGCCCCAAAGAGCGCAGCAGCCTGAGCTCTAGACAGCATCCCTTTGTGAGGAGCAGCGTGATAGTGCGCTCACAGACCTTTTCTCCCGGAGAGCGGAGCCAGTACATCTGCAGGGTAAGGTGGCGGCGCTCGCGGCGAGGCTCTGGGACTGCAGCTTCTTCCCTGCTGGTAGGGAATGGCCTGCAAAGGAGAAGACTATGCACTGGGAGTCTTCACATGACAACTACAAATGCTAGAAATGCCATAAAATAGATGTAGAATATCACATGCTTATGTTCCTTTTCAGTTTGTTTGTTTTGCCGTCAAATTTAATGTCTCCTTGGTTGCAATGTGATTTATTTGGCAAGTAAGCAAAGTTTAAGGATCGGAGTGCCAAGTATTCATACGTTATTTGGACTTCAGTCTGTATTTAGAAACATAAAGTGGTTTTTTGAGATATATGTGGTCTGTATATTTCTATTCTATATCTTGTGTCCTTCAAACCATGTTAGTCTTGTTGAACTGAGAATTGTGAATTGCATTTTAGAGCAAAAATCCTCTTTTAATAGTGCTTATAAACACTGATCACATCCATAGTTCTGTGAAGAAAATTATGAGATTTGTATCAATTTGTCAAATTCTGCTTCTAGAAGTATTTCTGATTTATCTAGTAAGACAGACATAATATTATAAACTGGGTTAGAAATCCTTTTTAAATTCTAAATTTATTCATTCAGTTCAACACGTTTTTATTAAGCACCTGCTTTTAAGCACTTTCCTAGATACTTGGGATTCATTTAGAAACAAGAGACTCAGAGCCCTGCCATTGTAGAGTTTACGTTCCTGTGAATCGAGCCAGACCACAAGCAGTAAATATGATGAACAAGCTGTGAAGTATCTTGGAAGGGGATCAATGCCATGGACAACAGTAGTGCAGGGGGTTGGGGGTAATACGCAGGATTCAGAGCAGGCTGCATTTCAGTAAAGATTTGAAGCAGAGGAGACAGTGGGCATGGGCTATCTGGGCTGAGAGCATTCTAGATAGCACAGACTGTCTCAGCTCTGACCTTGAGCTCAGTGCTTTGTGCAGACCTTTCTTTAAAGAAACAAATACCATGTATTAGCTAAAAATACAAAGGATAATTTTATTTAAAAAATATATATAAGTAGCTTAAACATATGATTTTTGATAGCCACTACCAAAAGGCAGCTATTTAAATTATTTCCAGGCATGGTGGCTCATGACTGTAATCCCAACACTTTGGGAGCCTGAGGGGAGCGAATCACCTGAGGTCAGAAGTTCGAGACCAGCCTGGCCAACATGGTGAAACCCCATCCCTACTAAAAATACAAAAATTAGCTGGGCATGGTGGCATGCGCCTGTAATCCCAGTTACTAGGGAGGCTGAGGCAGGAGAATTGTGTGAACCTGGGTGGCAGAGGTTACAGTGAGCCGAGATCATGCCACTGCACTCCAGCCTGGGTGACAGAGTGAGACTCTGTCTCAAAAAAAAAAATACATAAATAAATAATTTAAGAAAATGAAGTTATTTAACGAAACAGAACAGGAAAAACTTATTTGAGGGGATTGTCTTAAAAAAATAAACTCTTAACTATCGCTACCTGCTTTACTTGGTAAACGTCTCAATCCCAAACTTCTGCTTGCACTCTGTTTGATATGCAGTGATTTTTTTTTTAAATCTTTTGTTGCCAGTTAAATCGGAGTGACAGTGACAGTTCAACCCTGGCTAAAAAATCACTGTTCGTGAGAAACTCCACCGAACGCCGCAGTTTGAGGGTCAAAAGGGTATGTATTCCCTCAGTCACATCCCACTGTCCCTGGACCAGTCCAGAATTGTGACTTGTGCAGCACAAACTCCAGAACTACGAAATGAATGTCAGTGCTCCATGCACTTGGCCTACTGAATGCAGCCACTGGGATGCACAGAGACGCAGATGCCATGGCTGCTGTGGAGATGTGGGGTTGTGAGGGCATTTATTCATCATTGGTGTGGAACCTGTGATGGTTAAGACTGGAAATGCAGTTTCAGTATCTCTGGAAAAGGGGCCTGCTGAGCCTGCAGGGGTATCAGACAATGGTAGAACACATTTCTGATGACGCTGCATACCATGTCCAGGTCTTGAGCGATTGTGGGAAGGGGTGTAAGACCTGGTACCTTTTCTGAAGGACACACACGCTGGTAAAGGAGGAGCACACAGTTTTCGTTACTTGCTTAAACAGATATCTTTAGAAAGTTCACACTAATGTGGGTGGGCAGCTCAGGTGGCATTTTCCTGGAGGTCATGAGTCTCTGCATGAGCTTTAAGGATAAGTCTAAGAGAATAAGTGAATTAACAGGTTGGACTGTTCAGGTAGTTCAGAAATGCCTGTTTACTTGCCAACAGCTGAAATACTAAAGGAAAATATTTGTTTACTGTGATCATTTTGGCTTAAAATGTGTGGTTTGGTGAGTACAGACCACCACATGTGCTGAGCTCTGTCGATGGCGAAGAACTCGCACCCTCAGGAGTCCATGGTCTAGAGGAGGACGCAGCACACACAGGACTGTCACAGCTGTGCCGGGTACGATAGGGAATGAGCCCATCTAATTGAGAGAGTCAGAAAGACTCAGTTGGCCAGGGGTGGGGGGTCTCGACACTTGAATAAAATTTCAAGAAGAAAATGGTAGCTTTGGGGCTGGGTGGGGGTGTGATGGATACTGGGTGCTGTGAGTAGGTGGCATAAAATGATACTGGAGCAGGGACACACAGGACATGAGGATTGTCAGGTTCTGCTAACAGCTTTGGCACTGTGGATAGGAGGATCAGGCATGAAGGCGGGGAGGATAAATCAGAAGCATTGTCATCACCAGGGCCACTCTGGTCTCATGCCGCCATGTGCAGAGTGAGAGATGCCTGGCCAGGCAGCAGTGGGTGCCCCTGGTTTAACTTCCTGGTTACTTGAAAGGTGTAAAAGCATATTTCATTTTTCTAGAGGCAGATGAGATGTGCTGGCATTTATTCAGCAGTCATGATTTTCAGGAAATTCTGAGATGTCGATTTTTCAGATTACCAAACTTTATGCTTTAAAAGCACCCAAATTGTTATCATCTTGTGTGAAAAGTCTTCTCAACTCCTTTCTAAGTCACTTGCCTTCTTAAGCAGCACATACTCTCAGGGATAGTTTCACTCTTCAGATAAATATTAACCAAAAGTGTTTATGAATCAAGGAGCTGAGAAACGGTTGGGTTACTGATAAACTTAGTGATCAGGACTACTTGACACAGACAAAGGTTAATCCTGAAGCGTGTGTAGAAGATGGTTTTAAATGGTTTTTAAAAGTAGACAGATATGGTTTGATAGGAACAAGTGAGGAATAGTATTCTGCTTTAAGAATTACAGCATGAGCAAGGTATAGAGGTGTATGAGGACAAAAGTATCTGCAAAGATGAGTAAAAGATTCGCCTGAATAGAAGAGCAAAGCGCCAAGTGTGTGAGTGGTGAGGTTAGAGGGGTACCCACCGGCAGTGGTGTGCTGCACCCTCCTCATGCTGGCTCACGAGAGTCAGTTGTGCTCGGCTCTTGCCAGTTAAATCGGAGTGACAGTGACACATCACAGTCATAGCTTGAAAATGGTGATGGTAGGAGTATTTGCCACATAGAAACTGGCAAACCCTGCAAATCAGTGCTTTCTTCCCTCCTAGAGAGAGCCAGTTATTAAACATTTACCAGCAGACTCTTGTATATGGAGTCCTTAGGCTCTGTGTGCATGACAGCTAGGGAAGATTTCTGATTCTGAACAGTGAGTAATACAGTCAAAGATGATGTGTGTCTAGATGATTCTTACTGAGTAATGCATTTGTAGAGAGGAGAGGGTAGAGGTTGAATAAAGGGAACCTAAAAATAAGAATGTTACACAAGACCATGCAATATGTACTGGATGTGGAGGAAGAACAGGAGGACACAGTAAGAGTGATTCTGACTTGGGCTAAGGCTCTGAAATCAGAATAGGGACAGACAGGCCCCTCCCTTCCGCCTGGCATGAGCACTACCATTATTCCAGATCTTCAGACTAAAATACTTGTCAAATTTGAGTCCCTCCTCACTCATATCAAATAGTAACAGTTCTTACTAGCAATCACTTATTTTGCATTCTGTCTGCCAGTAATCTAGGCAAGAAATACCTCCTTGTTCCCCTCTGCTGGTGCAGTCTCACCTCTCACCCAGCCCTGTTTAAAATCTCTTCCTCAAGTGAATGGGCCCTGACCCTGAGTGATCCATCCTCTTCCCTGACTCCCTGTGCACCCCTGCGCTCACTCACAGCTTCCTCTCGCTTACGGTCTCATGGCATTCTGCAGTCGAAGTCTTCAGTAGCAGAGATTGTGTCTTCTCTTCCTAGTACTTTGCCTGCACAGCCCCAGCAGACGTTTATTCATATATGTTCAATAATTATTGCTTGATGAATGGGTTAAGATTGACCCTGGGAAGAGCCATGGTGATTCAGTGGTGAAAGTAAGTAGCACACAATGGGAAATCAAGGAAGGCAACTCAATTTAAGCATTCTGATTAGGGAGTCAAAACCTAGCAACATTGTCCAGCTATATTCAGGCCGACTGTCATGGATATGATAAGAGTTATATGTCCTGAAATGGAGGAAACAGAAGTGTCTTGCAATGTATTTATTTATTACACGAGGCAGGCTTCATGTAATCAATTGGTCAGGCTAAGTAAGCCAGGCTGTACTATGGTAACAACTTTAAAAATCTCTGCGGTATAAAACAATAAAGGTTTATTTCTTGCCCAGCTACTGGTTCACTGCAGGTTGGCAGGAGGCCCTGCCCCGTGTTGCTCTCACCCAGGGCCCATGCTGATGGAGCCTCCCTCTGTGGTGCTGGGGACAGAAATGCGCACCTCTCACACTGGCCTTGACAGGCTTCTGCCGGAAGTAAGGCACGTCTCTGCAACTCACCTGCCATGGGCCAGAGCAAGTTGCTCCTGCCCCTTAGGCCCTGGCTTCTAGGGCGCAAGGAAGCACCATCCATCATGCACCAGGAAGGAGGGAAAGCGGGTAACCACTGCCTGTATAACCAGGGTGTTCATCATTCTGTTTCTAACTATCCAGACGGTTTGCCAGTCAGTCCTTAGAAGAACAGCACAAGAATGCCCAGTACGGACATCTCTAGACTTAGAACTGGACCTTCAGGCATCTCTGACCCGGCAGAGCCGCCTCAATGATGAGCTGCAGGCACTGAGGGACTTGCGTCAGAAGCTGGAGGAACTGAAAGCTCAGGGAGAGACTGACCTTCCACCAGGCGTGCTGGAGGACGAGAGGTTCCAGAAGCTTCTGAAGCAAGCGGAGAAGCAGGTACACAGCTCAGGGTCTGTCATCTCGGAGGGGCTTACATCTTTTTTAAAGCATGCCACGTAGAAGGTACCCAACTTACGCTTCTTTTTTGCGCGTAAGTCTTTGGATGTTTTACTACAGCTTGGAACACATTTGGAACACATTTTTCCCACTGCTATAGGCCCTTTTCTTTTTTTTCCCAAACTGAAAATGTTGAAGGAACAAGGAAGCTGGGAAAGTGGGTGTGACAGCAGGGGATGGGTGTGGCCAGTAAGAGTGAGGGCGTGGCCAAGGGGGAAGTGGGAAGTAGTCATAATTTCTCCTCCAGATTTTTCTCAATCTCAACGTAAGACTTGGCAAATAAATACAGTATAACTTTTGGCATAAGTGAGACATTTTGTTTGGATTTTCTATGGATGTCTTTTTAAGGTTCATTAACCACATCAGTTGTGAAATACATTGCTAATTTTAATGCTACTAAATTTTCACTTTCATTCTTATCTTAAAGAAAAATTACACTTTGTTTATTGACATTCTCCCTTACTTTTCACCCTACAAATAGCTATACCAAAAAAAGATGAAATCACTTATTACAAAATAGAGTATTTTTGACCGGGTGCAGTGGCTCACGCCTGTAATCCCAGCACTTTGGGAGGCTGAGGCGGGTGGATCATGAGGTTAGTTCAAGACCATCCTGGCCACGATGCTGAAACCTAGTCTCTACTAAAAATACAAAAAAATTAGCTGGGCGTGGGCACACACCTGTAATCCCAGCTATTCAGGAGGCTGAGACAGAGAATTTCTTAAACCTGGGAGGCAGAGGGTGCAGTGAGCTGAGATCACACCACTGCACTTCAGCCTGGGCGACAGAGTGAGACTCCGTCTCAAAAAAACAACAAAAAAAACACAAGAGTGTTTTTAAAGAAACTATTTCCATTATTTTGACACCTAAATATAACTTAAATTTTCAAGAATCTGCATACATATGAAATTGATTGACCTTCTCGAGAGTAGAATTTATATTTTGGTTTAAAAGTGTGTATTCATATCCATATGTAGTAGCAAATAGAATTTTCCATATAACTGAAATACTAGTATTACAAATGTCAAAACGTTTTCTTTCAGTCCCTTTGGATGGGAATATAAAATAGATTAGACACTTCCTGAAACTAACAGAAAATGTTATCTATGATATAAACTGCTATTTTTGACCCAGAGTTGTTATTTGATCATGTCGTGTATAGTACTATCAGGAAAGTTTGAATCGTTCAGCTGACTGGAGCTACTGATCCTAGATGGAACTCAGAAACTAAATGAATGAATTTCAAGAATCAAACTGACACCAGTAATCTTTAAAGAAACTTTAAGCAACAAAACGTATTTCATATCTGTATCTTATCCCACCTGATAGAAGGAAACCTTCACATTCAGTAGGACTTCAGTGTTTGCTTAATGTGAAGTTCAATGGTAGGCCTTACATTTGCCACAGCAGTGGATACCGGATAATTAGACACTGCCCTGGTTTCATAAAGGAGATGAGCCAGACACTCCAGGTCCATGAGAGCAGTGCTTCCTGGAGAGGTCATGAGAGGTTTCATGGAGGAGGTGGCACTTGAACTGGCTTTTAAAGTGGGAAGTGGAGCTTCATAGGGGTGAGAGGCCCAGGACTGTCCATTAATAAAGGTCCAGATGGGCTCCAGACAGTGGAGGGCTGTGGGCAGGAGCCTGCAGGAGAGTAGAGTCACAGCATGTGGAAGGTAGTCTTATGAAATAGAAGATTGAATTTTAAGCAGAAATGACCTGCACTTATGTTTGTAACCTCAGTAACCATCATTTTTACTCTCGAGTTTTTAACTCAACATTAGCAGTAATTTCAAACTCTTGGTTGACTTTGACCCACTTTAATGTCATGGAGAAGCATCACAGTCTTTGACTCTTTTGAGTCAGAGCCTTCAAAAGCTGAATTGGAGTTTGACAACTATAGATGCAAATAGAACTTTGTGTCTTTGGTTGGTTGGTCGTTTCTAGTGTGTCATGATATGAAATTCTCAATCTCCAGGTATCAATAATTACTAAAACTATGGGACTTAAGTTTTTTACTTAATATCATCATGCACAGGTTCATCCATAAATTGCTTGTTACCGTATTTCATTTTTCTTGACTTATCTAATCTCCATTACATAGAGAGAAGCTCAGTAGAGCAAAAAACAGAAGGAAAAACAGACAAAGCTCTGGCAAAATTAATGAAGAGAATATACAAATAAAGAATATTATAAAAGTAATGAGGGACAGAACTACAGGTAATTGTGAGATTTAAAAAATAATTACAGCTGAGGTGGGAGAATCACTTGACCCCAGGAGTTGGAGACCAGCCTGGGCAATATAGGGAGACCTTGCCTCTACAAAAAAAGTTAAAAAAAAAAATTCACTAGGCATGGTAGCATGCACCAATTACTTGGTCCCAATTACTTGGAAGGCTGAGGTGGGAGGATCACTTTAGCCCAGGAGGTAGAGGCTGCAGTGAGTTGTGATTGCACCACTGCATTCCAGCCTAGATGACAGGGTGATACCCTATCAATCAGTTATGAAAAATGAAAAAATAAATGCATACACACACACACACACACACACACACACACACACACACACACACGTACTCCCGGTGCTTTGGGAGACCAGAGTGGGAGGACAGCTTGAGGCCAAGAGTTTGAAACCAGCCTGAGTGACATAACAAGATCCCATGGGGGAAAAAAAAGTTAAGTTAGCTGAGCATGGTGGCACATACCTATATAGTCTTGGCTATTCTGGTGACTGAGGCAAGAGGATCACCAGAGGTTTGAGGTTGAAGTGAGCTGTGATCACCCCACTGAACTTTAGCCTGAGTGACAGGAAAAAATAATTGAATATTATCAAAAGTATATGCCTACAATTTGGACATACGTCTAGGAAAATATACTAGAATGGATGTTTGGAAAGAATAAAAAGGATGGAAAATCCTATAGCTCTTTTAAAAAAGTAGAAGTAGTGATTAAAAATCTATCCACAAAGAAAATATAAGTTCTGGATGCTTTATAAGCAAATTCCACCACACTTTCAAAGAAGAAATTATCTCAATTTTATACAAACTCTATCAGGCACTAGAAAAAGAGGGAACACTTCCACAACTAATTTTATGTAATCAACATCCCTAAAGCCAACACTAGACAAAGATACTATCAAAAGGAAAATCACAGGCCAGGCCAGTTTCATTTATGAATGTAGATGCCAGAATCCTGACTAAAAAATGTTAGTAAATAGAATCTAACACTGTATTAAAAAGATAATACATGTTGACCATGTTGAATTGTACAAAAGTTTTCTTTGGTTTGGTTTGGTTTGGTTTTTTGAGACGGTGTTTTGCTCTGTTACCGAGGCTGGAGTGCAGTGGCATGGTCTTGGCTCACTGCAACCTCTGCCTCCCGGGTTCAAGCGATTCTCCTGCCTCAGCTTCCCAAGTAGCTGGGGCTACAGGTGCGCACCACCACACTAAGCTAATTTTTGTAGTTTTAATAGAGACAGGATTTTGCCATGTTGGCCAGGCCGGTCTCAAACTCCTGACCTCAGGTGATCCACCCGTGTCAGCTTCCCGAAGTGCTGGGATTACAGGCATAAGTCACTGCGCCTGGCAGGTTTTTTAATATTGGAAAACAATGAATTAAAAAAATACATGTTGACCCTGTCGAAATGTCTAAGAATATTTTTAATGCTAGGAAATTTATTTATATAATTCATTACTTTAACAGATTAAGGAGAAAAATCATTTGGCCAACTCAGTAGATTCAGAAAAATATTAAGAAAAGTCAGTGTTCCTTCATGTTTAAAAATCCCGGTAAGTTAGAGACAGGAACTTCCTCAACTTGATAAAGAATAACTTAAAGTAAATATGATCATAAATAGATAAACATTAGAATCATTTTCTTTAAAATCAAACACAAGGCATTCACTATCCTTCTGTTCAACATTGTGTTAGGAGTTCCTAAACAGTGCCATAAGGCAAGAAAAAAAGTAGAAGTGAAAAGATTGGAAAGAAATAAAGCTGCCATTATTTACAGGTGACATTGCATACATTAAAAATTTGTAAGTTATTACAAATAGTAGGAGTTTAGCAAGATGGGTGAGTAGAATGATATCCAAAAGTCTGTTGCATTTCTTTACACCAACCAGAAACACCTAGAACATTTAATTAAGATAATTACAACAGTATCAAAGAATATCAAATATCAATAAATTTAACAAAAATAAACAGTACAGTATAAAGAAAATTACAAAACCTACTGAGAATTAATGTAAAAGCAAATTCATGGAGAATTTATTACATCCATGTAGAGCAGGGGTCAGTAAGCTTTTCCTATATTACATATTATATCAAATTATACTACAATATAATGTAACTGTATTATAACTAAATATTAACAATGTTAAATATTCTGGGTTCTCTGGGCCATATGGTCCCTGTTGCCGCTATTCAGCTCTGCCATAGATAAAATGTAATTAAATGATGTATTTGCGTTCCAATAAAACTTTATTTACAAAAAGAGGCGGCAGGCCGTAGTGTGCCAATTGCTGATACAGAGGAAGAATTAACACTGTGGAGACGGCCAGTTCTTCCTAAAATGTGCCACAGAGTCAATGTAATGCCAAGCAGAATACGCACATGGTTCTTCATGGATACTGATGCAGTTAATGAAAACGTAAAGGTCAAAGAATAGCCAAGGTATTTTGGAAAAGAATAACAAGGAGAGGGACTTGCCCTACGAATTTATTAAACTGCTAAAATAGCAGGAATTTGTGGAGGAATTAAGAGATTGGTCATGGCATGAATACAGAGCTCAGAAGCAGACACGTCTGTATGGAGCGTTGCTGTGTGATGAGGATGGTATCTGTGTGGAGCACTGATGTGTGATACATAAGTAATAGGGGAACCGTGCAGTTTCTAGAGTGTTCTCTGGAAAGACAGTGTGGCAGTAGTGTAACTGACCAT